TATATCTTGGGTTTTATTATTTTTAAATTATTAATTTAAACAAAAAAGATAATATTATAATATTTAATTTTAAAAGTTAATATTGTGTTTGTTGTTGTGGTTAATTAATTTATGTATATTAAAAGCTGTAACGTCGAAATATGGCGTAGAGAAAAACGTTGCTCAGAATAATTAAACGTACTAAACTCGGTCAGAAAATTGTAGGAAAGCGTAGTGGTGTCATTTGTGTTTGTATAAAACAAATTTAACTTATTAATAACCTTAGGCACAACATCAATATGAAAATAAATCATAACGTATATTTTTTAATGTCTTCCAGCTGCTACCCAATTTACCATGTAACGAGAGAATGGCTATACATGTAATATTTAACGGATCAGTAAACGCAGACTGCTTCTCTTAAAACAATTATTGGTTTTTTGTTATTTTTATATTAAAAATAAGTAAAATATTTTTTTAAAGAAATAATAAACATATCTCTATTGTATTTTAATAATAATAATAATAGTGATAAAAAAATATTTAAAAAAAAGTAATTTAAGAAACCTTGCTTATCTAATAGTATTTTCGTAGGTATTTTAATTGATGATTTCCTAATTTCTAATTTAAATAATTAAACGTTCAGGAACTTTCCCAGTAAAAAAAATGTTAATTTACTTAAAGATGTCTAAGCTTATATGATATGTAAAATTTAAATAATATAAAATATAACAAAAAATAGAATATGTTGAAAATTTGTTAAATTCATTTTTAATTAGAACAATTGTGCAAACATATTTTGATTGATTTTGTTAAATAAAATAATATGCTTGTACAATTTATGTAATATATTTTATAAAAAAAATATCTAAAAAAATGTTACTTATTTAAGGACCTATTTGTTACTAGATTCTTACTAATATTTTTATACTTTGTTTTTAATAAATCATAACATGTGAAAAATATAAATTTAAATTTGTTATTAACCTGTAATCACAAACATATTTTTAAATACTTATAAAATAATTATTATTATAATTTCGACATGTTTCATTTTGAACTAAAAAAAGTGCATTTTAATTTATAAAAAATATATATTTTGTCAAATGGTGTTTCAATATAAACTAAATAAGTGGGTCAATAGTGAAATGTGTAAGAAATTGAAAATTAGATTGCGGAAAGTTGTTTACTTTATGCAGGTATGCTCATCATGTGTAGATGGCTATCTGCACTTAATTTAATATAAAACTTAAGCAAAGCTTTAAATGCTCTATTAACACAAAAAGAATCTAACAAATGCTTTCCAATAAACTATTTGTTTTTGGTCATATGTTTTTTGTTTACATGATTATTTTGTGCAAATACAACAAAAATATACTAAATTATTTGCATAATTTATATAACTACACTATCATATATATTGGATGTATTAAATAGACATTCAAAAATAGACATCCAAACAAAGTGCGCTTTGAAAACAGATGTTGTCCTCTTGAAATCTAAACAAAAGTGTGTTCAGTGAATAGCAACATGAAAAACTTCATGGAATTTTTAAAGAATTTCATATCCTACATAACACAACAATCGTATTATATCACTTATAAGTTTTATATGGCGTTTACATTGGCCGAAAATGGCTCATGCAATATTTGTTCACATTTTTTTGTGAATATGTCAAAAACAACAAACTGCCAAAATGTCATGAAAAGCTTTTATTTAAGATATGGTTAATTTCTTTGCATTTGGAACATATTTGGAAAGCATTCGAACCTCGTTGGAATGCATTCATACAGAATATGATCCAATGGATCTGATTCGCGCTTGAAATTTTGTATGCAAGAATGGCACATTTGCTTCTTATTTTCGATTTTTGACCAAAATGAGCCATTTGAAGCCTGTGTAAATGCCATTTTAGTTATATATTAAATTTTTTATAAAATTATTTATATTACAGATATTTCGGTCAACTTCGTAGACTAAAATCAGTGTATTAGCATCACTGCTAGTATCTCGATTAGCGCCTATAATAAGCAATTTGATGTTTTTTACCACTCTAAAAAGCTGCCGAAAGAACCTACATATATATACACAATAATTTAAAATTGTATATGTAAGTAAATTAGGTTTAAAAAACGCAGTAGCTTCCGTAGCGCAAAATTGAAAGGGTTACTTCCTCCCCCTCCTTCGTTAATGTAAATATGCCTGTGGCGAATTCGTCACACACAGACTCCAGCGCCATCTAGTGTTAAAAACATTCCAGTTGGCATAACAACCAACTTCAGTACCAAGAAGAGAAGAAAAAGGTAGCATTGTGCAGTTTGTTTTAACGACGCGCCACCGTTTGTAAAGAACCAAAAACTCATTTTATTTTAATTCATTTTTCATTATCGTGTAAATAATTAACATTAAGTTTGTAAATAATTCATAAGTAGTAAGAAATAAACATTGTGTGGCAAACTAGCCACATGCCTTACCACTTGAGCTAAACATAATTGTGAATGATAAATAATGCAATAATGAAGGCGGATACTGATTTTGATGTTGGCAGTTCCGTAACAATTGCAATGGTTTGCTTCATATGGAGAGCACTTTACATTTTGAGCCCTAAAATTCCAGTTCGATTTGATGAACATGTGAGAGAGTTTGCAGTTATTAGCATACATGTAGTAAAACAAATAAAATAGCCGACATTAATTACTTTACTAACTGCACTACAATTTTATATAGTGACATCATCGAAAACCGAAAATGATACGCATAAAGTGTGGAGATTCTAATTTGGATCCGATGCCAATAAAAGTAAGTTCCCATAGTTTGGTGTTTTCATGTAAAATAATTTGTGCGGAATAAAATATTAATAAACATACGTATACAGATTGGTATCATAGGAGGTTCTGGCTTAGACGATCCGGATATACTTGAGAATCGTAAAGAAACACATATTACTACGCCATTTGGTGAAACTTCCGATGCTCTAATAGAAGGAGAAATTGCCGGTGTTAAATGTGTGCTTCTTGCGCGGCATGGACGGAAACATGACATTATGCCCACGAATGTTAATTATCGTGCCAACATATGGGCTATGCGTAATCTAAACTGTACACACGTAATTGTCTCAACAGCCTGTGGTAGTTTGCGTGAAGATATACGCCCTGGTGATTTGATAGCACCTCATGACTTCATTGATCGCACCACAAAACGTGCGCAAACCTTTTACGATGGTAGTGAAAATAGTCCACGTGGTGTGTGCCATTTACCAGTGTTTCCAGCTTTTAATGATCGCACACGCAAACTTTTAATATCAACCGCTAGTGAATTGGGCTACACTGTCCGTGATGGCGGCACTGTAGTAGCAATTGAAGGGCCACGTTATTCTTCACGTGCTGAGAGTAACATGTATCGCCAGTGGGGTGGAGACCTTGTCAATATGACGATTTGTCCCGAGGTAGTACTTGCAAAGGAAGCAGGACTTTTGTATGCTTCGATTGCCATGGCTACAGATTACGATTGTTGGCGAATAGGTTGTGAGAGCGTCAATGTGGAGGAAGTACTTAAAACATTCGCAGAAAATGTTGTTAAAATTAAAAAAATTCTTACAAAAGCTGTGGAGAATATTGCCAAAGAAGATTGGAGTGAAGAGATAGAAAGCGCAAATGTAAGTTTATTTCTCAATTATTTATAATCGCATTTATATTAAAATTTTTTATTTTTATCAATAGCAATGCGTCTGTAAAAACACGATGTCCGCTGACATGTGACGCTTTTTAACACTATGCACCAAAATTACTAAAGACACAATAATAAAGAATAAATCAGCAAATAAAATGTTACGAAATCCTAATATGAATCTTACACCAAAAGTTCATTGCATTTTGATATTATATGATCTACCTGCACTCCAAAAAGAACAAAAAAAACCAACGTCCTTAGCACAACGTAAGCATTCATTGCTACGCTATCGTCTGCAAAAACGACGTGCCGTTAAGCGCCGCGCAGGATGCACGGGACGCAGCGACAAAAAAAATAAAAAGGCAACCTTAGCAATTTTAAGCACAAATTTTAAATGAAAATAAAAACGAAGTAAAATGAATTTATATGTCAAAAAAACAATTTTTTGTGGTCTTTAATAAAATATGAAACTAAAAACATATTTGCTGGTTTGATATCTTTAGGTTTTTCGCGCTCCCTTCTAAATTATTCCATTGCAATGGGTTTTTGGTCTTGTTTTACAAAAACAACATTTGATCCAAAAAATTTTGGGGTGGTATTAAGCAAATTTACACATTCTGACAGCAAAAAAGTACCGATAAAGGTAAAATATTCATATCTAATGTATTAAAATCAAACTAAAGCGTAAAGATATATGTCTGCCTGGTGTTTATATAAAATGATTTGGATATCAGTATTTTACTGTTATATTTTGAGAGTCCTAATCTAACAATTCACTTGACTTTTAGGTAGGAATTATAGGTGGATCTGGTCTTGACAATCCTGATATAATGGAAAATCGGCAGGAGAAAATAGTTAGTACAATATTTGGTCCTCCATCTGACAAAATCATTGAAGGTACTGTAGGTAAACAAAAGTGTGCGTTACTAGCTAGACACGGACGAAAACACTCAACAATGCCGGGAAATGTTAACTACCGAGCCAATATATGTGCCTTAAAGAAAGTTGGTTGCACACATGTGCTTGCATCCTTTGCTTGTGGGAGTCTGTGTGAAAATTATAAACGTGGCGATTTGGTAATTCCAAGTGATTTTCTTGATCGTACGACGAAACGACAACAAACATTCTTCGATGGCAGCAAAAAGGCCGCTAAGGGAATCTGTCATTTACCTATGTATCCAATATTTAGTGAACCAATGCGACAAATACTTTTAAAAACTGCCTGTGAGTTGGGTATAAGTGTACACGATGGTGCTACTGTAGTGGTCATCGAGGGCCCACGTTATTCTTCGCGCGCCGAAAGTAATTGGGTAAAACAGGCTGGAGGACATTTAGTCAATATGACCATGGTACCAGAAGTGATATTAGCTAAGGAGGCAGGTTTGCTATATGGCGCAGTAGCTATAGCAACTGACTATGATTCATGGCGAGATGATACCGACCATGTTAGTGCTCAAAGTGTACTAGAAGTCTTTGCAAAAAATATACAGAAAGTTACAGGCTTATTGCTAAAGACAATAGAGAATATACCCAAACAAGATTGGGCAAACGATATACAGGAAGCTCAAGTAAAGAATACTTTGATTAATAGTGTCTATGCACATATATATATACGTTTCTTTTTATAGAATCTTGTCGCTAGCAATTTGTTAACACCTGAATAGACACAAAAAAAAACACACACAACCAAGTTTGGCAGGATAACATAAGCATGTAGGTAACAGTTTTCACAGATTTCCACTTACTCATAGCCTTTAATTATATATTAATAAATTTTTTACAGAATCTCTATTTTAGACAACTTGTTGATTAATAAGCCCATTAATAGTCTACAAATGTTTTGTATATTTTTTAATAAATAAATAGCCTTTTTTATATTAATATTTGTTTTTTAATATTTTTAATGCATAGATAGGAAGTATAAATTAGCAGCATACAAAAAATGTTCATTTTTACATAGACACATTTTCATGGACATTTTCTTTCAACCTGACTTTTACCCGACTCTTCGTATTCTTGTGACGATATCCACATCTGTTGGAATGTACCAATACTAGCGAGTATTGAACCACCTATCCATGCGCCGAAACGTCTCTCCACACTACCATTCGCAGAAATCATTTTAAGTCGAGTATTGGATGGTGCGCGTAGTTGTAAATCGCGATTAAGACGTTCTGGAAAACCTTGCAGTAGAGTATTACCACCTTTGGAAAGTAAAAACAAAAAATTTTTAACTATTCGGTGCTGTTATTATTCATTAAACTTACCTGTTACAACTACGGAACCATATAAAGACAATCGGACATCTGCATCACACATTCCTACACTTGTTGAAGCCAACTGACCAGCTCCTAGCATAGCATTGTCGAATAGACATTCAGCCAATTTAAAACGTTCAGAACCGAATTCTTGGTGATAGCCATTTGGAAATTCATAGTGAACTGTTGGTATTTGTGAAGCAACACGTTCATCGTATGGATTTTCTAAGACCTGTAGAACATTCACTTGAAAATCTTGCATCATCAATTTAACCATATAATTTTGCCATGAAGTTGTTAAATTTTCTGGTAAATTACGTGTGACAAATCTCGCAGCATCTCTTTCTTTCACGACATCTTTAGATGCAATTTTGTACACAGGAGTTAAGTCGATATTCTGTTTCTCTAAAAGTGTACGACATTGTAATGATAAATAATCACCACCGAGTGGTGATTTAACGACCGCTTGCGATAGTACATAACCTTCATGTACTGGTACAGCGGAAGTATGTGTAGCTCCACTATCAACTACCAATGCTGTTGCACGTCCGCTAGCAAATGCTGCCAGAACGGAATTTTTTACCAAAAAGAAAGCGGGCACATTATATTTTTCAAACATTAATTCTGTCAATTTTTCTCTATTGTTACGCACATTCCACGAAGCTTCGGAAAATAAAACCGGATGATATTCTGGCTCAGACTGTATTACTTTCGCGTACGCATAATCAATAACTTTTTCAAATAAATCCCAATTATCAATCATGCCATCTTTCATATATGATTGTATTTCCATATTCGAGCGCGGCACATTTACGTAGGTTGTATCCACATAATATTTACGTGTGTCAGCATCTAAAGTGTACAAAATATTAGTTGAATACATTATTTCATTCTACATATGAGAAACTTACGATTTGGTGTTATATTATTGTCTGTTTTGGTTTCTAAATCCATATTTGTTGGAGAGTCATTAGGTCCAACACCTACTACTGAAGGTATCTCAGCCTTCGGCGTATCTTCTTGTGCATAACCGACTCGTAAAGAATGATGCCCCGGATCAAATACCAATGCCCCTATCTCATCACCACCATATAACATATTTCCGGTGCTCATATTTGTTATGTATTATAATAGTTTTCACACAATTATTTTTAAATTTACAAAAATCCCAAAAATTCTTTAGTACTGCGGCCTTCTTAGCGTCTAGTTTATTTTTTTTTTCCTCAAATGTGCTGTCAAAAAAGAGTGCTACCACATCACAAAAATTTTTGCAACATTTTAGTGTTGTAAGTGTACTTGTACATAATTTTTATTTAACGTGTACAAATAAAGTTGAACTAATACGATATCCTAGACATTTCGGTTGTATAACGATTTTGATAAAATCTATACAAATAAGTTTTGATTCTAGAAATATTGGATTTTAAAGTTGCAAATTTGTACATGAATTTCTTGGATAACAAATTTGACGTGTAAATGGCACGCTGTTAATCGTCATTTATTAAATCAATGTAGGTGTGTGTTTTGTTGACCCCTGTCAAAATCATACATATTTGTATCGCATTTTATATATATTAGTACAGAGCTGTCCAGACCAGATGCGACTACCGGTTAATACAAATTACTGTACAGATTGGAGAGCCGCAGAAATAAATGCATACGTTTAAAGTTCTTTTCGACAAAAATATGCGGTCTGCGGGCTGTGCTTTGGACAGCCCTGTATTAGTAAATGAAATATATTTTTAGTACTTAAATAGGGTTACAAGTCAATTACAAGTTACTTGCATACATTTTTCAATATTTATCAAGAAAAAAGAAAAACAACTTTTTAAATGTTACACACTTATGAAGATTAATAGAAAAATAAGAGAGTCTGGTTCATAATTTATTTCAAACCATCAGACATAATTTAAATCTAAATCATCTAAATCTGTAAAAATATATGTTATGGATAGAGCGTTATTTTATATGAATCTAAAGTTCTTAAGTGTATATAAAGTTTATTTAATAAAAACTGAATAAAAATAATGAAACTAAATAAAAACTAAAGACTGACGTCTAAATCTGTAAAAATATGTGTTTTAGAGAGAGTATTATTTGAAAAGTTTTTAAGTATATGTAAAGTTTATTTAATAAAAATCAGAGATAATTTAGATACTAACGTTTAATGTAAAGTTTTCAAATATAATAATAACTAAAATGTATATTAAAAGAAAATTCAAGCATTATAAATTCACATTTTTTTATTGCAAAATACATAACATTCACTTTAGTTCTCATATCAATTTTAATTTTATTTTAAAATTAATTTTACTTTCCAGTTAATTTTTTTATTCCTCTTCCACACTATTAGATCCATCAATGCGATCATCCAGCAACTTTATTTTATCATTTAAATATTGATAAATAACTATAATAGAAATAACTAAAGTGATTAGAAACTGCAACTGTAGAGGAGAATTTAAATCATAAATATTTTAATATTATATATTTGAATACACTTACTAATACAAAATTTAAGATTTTCATATATTTAAAATTGAGATCTTTTATCAGTATGCCATATATATCTTTTAATATGTGACGTGTATTTTTGCTAAATTTGTTACAGTCCTTTAAAATTTTATATACGTTATTGCTAAAGCTTCTTCTCTGAAAATTAGAATAAAGTTAAAAGATTAGAATAAATAGGTAGTTACCACGAAACAAATATGTTTTATTAATCCAACCGTACTATATATTTACCACATTATTGAAAGATATTTCGGAAAACAATATACATATATAATCGCAAACAATAAACACAAAAATCCCATAAATGGCAGCATAAAATGCACGTTCCGCACGTTCTCCGAACATGATATACCAGTAGGTCTTGAAATAGATAATGGAATATACTCCAGCTAATAGACAATTACTATTCAATACAACTAACATTAATAGTTGTTTTCGTAAAACATTTTTAAAGAGTTTTTGTTTTTCAGCGATATTTTTAAGTTCAATGCTTATCAAGTATATGGAATCGTGGACATTTGTTAAATTATTTGTATTAATTACTGTAAAGTCTCTGTCTGACTTTGTATTATTATTAACAAAAGTCTCCAGAGAACCTGACTTTTTGATATTAATATCAAACGTTGTTACTTCATTAAAGTTAATTTCCACTGTATGTAGTATTTCACGAAATAACCATTGCCCAACTGTAAAATATCTAACGGCCCCTGCTAACATAAAATGCGGAATAAATAACGCAACTCCTACAAGTATGTGATCCAATGGTGGCAATATGAATTCCATTTCATAGGCTATATATAAACCAAATCCAATAGATAACAAAAATGTTGAAAATAGTAAACTGTAAGAAATGAATTCTTTCCAATATGTTAGAGTTGTTTTCAGTTTTATGGAAGAAAGCATTTCTGCAACTCCATTGGTGACACGATTAACCATTCGCATTTCATATATATTATATAGAAATATTTTTAATCCAAAAAGTAATTGTAGTTGGGTTAGTCGTCTCAAAAATGGCGATACCACATCTAAGAACTCTAATACTGGAGACGTCTCAAAATGTTGATTAAAAGATATTGCATATATCAGTGTTACTAGAAGAAAATGCAGTACACCAAACAGCGTAAGACGATATCGATATGTTTTTGCATTGTATATTTGTATGTGATATATACAAAAAAATAAAAAATAATTTGTAGTTTTTAAAATTCGTCCGAAATTTATACTCTTCATTTTTATTGTTTAATGGCAACTAAAAATTTTTGATTTAATTTTTAAAAGTACAAAAAAACTTCTACTAAATCGTTTTTAATAGCTTATAATATAGATATTATCGACGCATTGGGGCGCAACATGTATTTATAAATGCTTTTTTTTTTGATATCACTGGTCTGTTTTTAAAATAATATTAGAAGGGTAGATGATACAATTTAAACAAAAATTTTCATTTTCTTAAATATATTTAAAAGGTTCAGACTTACGAATGTCTTTTCACATAGGGTGACCATGCTATAATTATTTAAAGGTAGACCTATTGCAATACGGCTTTAACTACCTTTCCATACTTTTGAAAAGGTAGTTACCAGTTTGAAAGAAAACAAATACTTACACGATAGATCTTAAAGTACCATATTTAGAAATGTCTGGCCATGAAATGTCTGAGAGAAAGCAGACATTTCGCGTATAGTTATAGTATAGATCTATTCTGAGGTCTCTTAGCATGTCATTCGTGTGGATGTACGATGGCACTTTGAAGAGTCTTCGGAGAGCCTGACTTGAGCAACTTGTAGCTTCTGGATAGTAGAGGTTTTGTATAACCTGCAGTTACCATACTATGCATGAGTTTTAAATGTACATATAGAACTAAGAATTTAGTTTATTTACAAGCAAACATTTATTTACTACACTTATTTAAATGAAATCTTTTACCACATTAAGTTCATGAATCACTTCAGTATACATTTTTCAAACATAAAATGCCATGATATCACTGACTCAAACATAGTTCCGTATTTTTACTTCAGTAAAAGTGTCATGGTTGTCGATAACTCTATAATAGTTCTTCATTCAGAAGAATGAAGAACCATTGTAGTCGTGTTGCTGTGGCCCGCAGGAATCTGCTCGTGGCATTCATTTTAGAAGTGTTAAACGGATGTAATCAGATGTCAGGCCAGATGTAATATGGCCGTTCTTAAAATAATTGAAGTTTTGTCTTGGTTTCCACTGTAATTATATTGTTTACTATACTATACTGCACTGTACTATACTACACTTTACTATATTGTTTGCACGCTATATATGTACATACATACATATGTACACATTTCGCAACTTGGAGTATATCGTAGATGCTTTCTGTACACAACTTGTAATGTCGTGTTTGGCTCCGTTATCGATGGCTTCAGATATGTACATAAATTTTTTATTAGCTGCAGGAATCATAATTCGAGTGTTTTTCAATGTTTACATTTCATAATAAATGTCCTTATTTATCATCCTTAACACCCGTTTTGTTCAGAAGGTCAAGATTCATATTAGGATGTAGTGCCAGAAGAAATAATAAGAAGTAGTAGTAAATATTCTTAATATAAGAATTATTAATTATATAAAATACATAAAAAACTGATTCTCACAACAGCTGTGATCATTTATAAATTTTTATCTAATAATGCATAACCTGCATCTAATATTTTTTATTTTAGATAATTTATTCATTATTAAATAATTATGATTATTCATAAATTATTATCTCACAATGCATAAACTGCATTTAATATTTTATAATTTAGATGCAGTTTTTAAATAAAATTAATAATGTAATTCAAATTAAAGTTGTAGTGTACTTGCATACACACACATTTTGTTTAAGGTAATTTTTCTGTTAATGTAATATACATACATATGTACGTACATACATAATAGTAAATTCAATATAAAATACAATTTGCCATTATTAAAATTGTGAGCGTTGCTTGAAATGAAGGCCATGCATATTAAATTATCTCATTAATAGCATACATACATACATATGTATGTGTAATAATTATTACAATAATTTATAATAAATTATCACAATTTTAATACGTGTTTCGAAAGTCATTTAGACTGAACACAGTCTAAAGTTCAGTTACATTTGCTAGACATGACAGTATTAAATGTTAAAATACTATAAAAAAAAATATGCCACTCATTTTTTACAATTGTTATATATTTACATTATATATACATATGTATATACATACATTGGTACACATTTATATATACATATGTAAATGCAAATGCAAATATGAAGCAATAAAAAATATGAAAAAAATTAAAGTGAAACATTTAAAGAAGTCAAACAAAATAAACAGAGCAAATAATAACAAACTGAGAGCAATGAGTATAAAAAGTTTGGAGAATAATTTATGGCACACAATATTTGAGTATTTTGTATTTGAAGTATTTATATCAAGAAAAATAGAAATTTTTATTATTTTAACACTAATTATACACAATCGTTTGGGAATATAAATTTTAGTATTCTTGTTGTAATTGACAAAATAAGACGCAGTTTATTGCGCTAATAATAGCATGTTTTTTTTTTTTTTTGAAAATGCGTTAGCACTTCTCACACACAGAAAAGTCAGATATGTTATACGATCTTAACGAAAATGTTTAGGCCTGATCACTTGTCATGTTATTATATATGTATATATTTCAATTAACTGGTTGTTAATACTAGTTTGTTTATAATTTAGTACTTCAATGATTTTATTATTTATATGTGCTCTTTATATAAATTTAAAATATGTTGTTTATTTAAGCATTTTTAGCGAATTTTATATCGTCTCTTTTATATATGAGCTAATTGATCAAATAAAACAATTGTTGATATTGGGTAAACTTTTTATATCAACAATTGTTTTATCTGACCAATTAGTCCATACTTACATATATAAAAATAAAATAAGCAACCTTTGAATATCAACAATTGTTTTTTTTTGCACAATTAACCCATACTTAATATACATAAATATTTAAAAAATATGAACAAATAAAAACAATATTAATATTAAGAAATTGTTGGTCATTAAAACAATAAATTAATAAAAAATATTGATTTAAAGATAATTAACTTCTTTTATAAAATGTCATCAATATTTATTATAAGTATACTTGATATAAATTTCTAAGTTATAAACTTTTTTAAAAAAATGTTACAAAAAGTCTAATTCTTACATTTTATTATTAACTTAAAATATTCATATATTCAAATTATATATTAATTTAAAATGACTTATTAGTTAAACATTAACAATTATAGAGAGTTTATTATTCACATATTTTACAAACCATTTTTAATTTTTTTTTACTCTTTCTTAAAAAATGGTACAAAAGGTCTAATTCTTATATTTTATTCTTAACTTAAAATATTCATATATACACAAATTATATATTAATTTAAAATGATATATTTGTTAAACATTAACAATAATAGCGAGTTTATTATTCTCATTTTTTACAAATCATTTTTAATTTTTTATGGTAAATGTTAGGAACTTGAAAATGTTTACTTATTTGTGCTCTCCATAAGCAAATATTTTGATTGGCAGCACTTAAACTAAACGCTGTACTCTCATACATACATCTCTTTATTCATTTCATACTATTTTTAACTGTTGTGACATATTTTTTTTCTCTTTTATTTATTAATTTAAATAAATTATTTAAAATGTTTATAGTTATTGATTTTCAAGCCAGATAAGAAACCAAACTGTGTAATAAACAAAAATTTAATTAAATAAATTAGCACAAAGAGCTAAAGTAAATTTTCTCTTCAAACCAAAACAAAAACAATACTTATGCTCATATGTCAATAGAAGCCAGAAAGCAAAAAAACAAACAAAATATATGCCGCCATTTAAAATAAATGCTTGCTATAAACAACAACAGTTGATCGCAGACGTTTAAACGTAGATGACGAGTAGTAGTGCGAGAGTGGATATTGTGTTTGCCTTTTTTTATCATAACAAAATTATTATTTGCTCAACACATTACTTGGAACTACATAATTGATTTAAATTAGTAGTTTAAACCATTAAAAAACATTAAAGGTGAAATATAAATATTGTTGCGGTAGGTGAAAAACTATCATAATAATTAAATTTATATTCGAAGTGCAACTGAAGTGCGTGAGTGCACACAATTATTATTTTATGTTTGTATATATTTTTATATACAATATATAATCAATAATGTATATAAGAATAATATATTCATTGCAATGACTATTTCTACTGTTTGTGTTATAAACCAGACTACGTACATATATGCACATGTTTATATATATTATGTACCATAATAAAGTAAAACTTTAAAAAAGACCACAAGGTTTTTCGGCATACAAAAATCGAATTAATAATGAATGCAACAATTTGTTTATTTTTTTTTAATAAAACTAGTCATTTATTTGAAAGTGAAACTAGTTTAAATATTTGGCAAGCCTTCTGTTCCTAGTTCAGATAGAACTGGAAATTTTAAATAAATTTTGTTTATACAAAAATGTTTATGTACATATGTATGTATATAAAAACAACATTGCTTTTCTTAAATGAGCAAATGTAATTCTGAAATCGTTGACCTTTATTTAAATTAAATGTGGAACGAGCTTAGTAAAGTAAAAATTTAATATTTATTATAGGATAACGCACCTTTATATATTATTATGAATTGTGAATATAATATTAAGACTCAAGTTAAATACTGAGTTGTTAGATTTAAAGTCTCATTTTAAACTATCAATGACATTACGAGCACAACTGGCTACCGCAATTAACATATATTAATCTGACATATAGAATATACTCATATAGGGGGAAGTTTGGCACCCTTCTGCGAGATGCTTTTGTGGCATGTTAAACCCCCTTGTCCATCATTCGCTAAACTACACTACACTACTCGCTACCAGTATGCACTACATAATCATACTCAAACTAGTGTTATGTGGCATGCTCTATATTCACACTGACCTAAAATATTGCCTATTGAGATATATAAATAGTTGGACTCAACAGTATCGTTTAGCGGATAAACAACCCAATTAGTTATCAATATGAACAGTGCCTTTACCTTCTTACAATCCGTTATTTTTTTCTGTATCTAAATTAGATGATTGAGATTAGTTATGATAGTGTCAACTACATATAAACGGAATTTACTCACACTTTAGTCGCTTTTGTTCTTATAAGGCAGAGCTCTGCATTGGTCCAAATAAGCTAATGGTAGAATTATTTATTTTCCTGAAATCTGCATATTTATTTTTATTATTATTTGGGTTTGGGTGAGTAAGTAATTTTATAACTCGTTATTAAAGTTATTGTTTGTAGTCTCTAAAGTTCTTATTTTCATTTGCAGGGGTCTACAATTATAGAAAAATAAGAGACTTGTTTTTTATACTCTTCAATATATTATGTACTGCATAAAAAAGTAAGAAGCATCATTAGTTCAATGCAGTGTAATGGGGTGAGGATCCATTTTTTGCTTTGAACTTCTCAAACAAATAAGCTGCTAGATCACCCGTCTTAACTAGTAAAAAAGTAAAACATAGGTTATCAATAGAGCAGATTACTTTAAGTCTTTTGTATTGAAAACGATTTATTTAAGCCATTGGTATTGCTAAAATATACTTGACCCAATAAGATATATAATTGATACTTAAATAAAAACTTTTAGCTTTAATAATGTTTATATATATAGAAATTTTCTACAAAAATTTATTGTTGAATTTTTTTCTCCGTTTTTAAGTCCTGTTAGTTTGTACTGAATATTTTTCTTTTTTGTATTTAACGCTGTTAGTTGACACAATATCTGCTTAATTTTAATGTTTACATGAATGACTTTATAGGGTAGACCCACTTTTTTTAAAAAAGAAATGCTTTTTCAAAGAAATTTGATTACATCACGTTCTGAAGATTATGTCGCGCAAATGACCACCATTAACTCGAATGGCATAATGTGTCAGTCTTTGAAATTTTCTGTTGTATTTGCCAATGTTTCGGCCGCTATTCCGGCTATATCTTGGCAGATGTTGACCTTAAGTTCATTTAGTGTTTTTGGGTTATTGATATGAATTTCTAAGTTCATAATAGCCCCAGAAGAGAAAGTTTAGCTATGTATCGTTCTAGTGGGGACACTTTTAAACTAACCATTTTTTGATATCAAACGACCGAGGAAGAATGCGTTCAAAAAATCCATTGTGACACGAGCTGTTGCCATAATGATGTGCCATAATGTTGACCGAAAAAATGCAAAATCGGTTATCGAAACCCTATAACACATCTAATTGACGGTTATTGTATTTCTACTGACGACTTAAAAAAGTATGATCCTATGGTCATATCAGCACAAACTTCGCACCACACTGTCACTTTTTGGCAGGAAAAAATTGTTTTTTTCAAAAATTTGAAGCTCTTCCGTGGTGTACAATTTTATTTGTGTACGATTCTGAAGTGCATTTCATTACACATATTGATTGTTTGCCAAAAATTTTCCTAGGCTTTAGCGCGTTCGATTGGTGTGAACTGCTGCATAAGAAAAATTTCATAATACTGACCTTTCAGCCATGTCCAATTATTAGTCATTCATTCTTTCTTGTTAAAGTCACAGCTAACCATTCATACTTAAGCTAAGTTGAACACTGGCTCCATGCGTGTATATAGTGATTGTAATTGATATGAATTAAATTAAAATTAATTTAATATTGTGTTTTTTTTTTGTAATTATATTTACTCTATTAACTAGTTTTTGTTGTTGTTGTAACCCGCCGGGAACTGTAAGCAGATAAACATGAAAGGAAACACAAGATGATTACATGAGCAGGGAAATAGGATGAAAGTTAGGGGGGCTAAATGAAGGAGAGGGGGGAAAGAAGGATATGGAAGAGTTGGGAAGGAGGTATATATAAACCGTCATCCTGGTTCCAGGCGGAGAAACCTGGCCACTTCAATGGGGTGGGTCCAAAGGTTAATTTGACGAAGATTTGTGTGTGCAGAAGGACATGTAAATAGATCGTCATGGGGAGAAGAGCTGCAATTAGGGCACACATTGTGAATGGAGGTATTAACTAGTAAATACTCTTTGTTATGAGAACATGTCTAATGTCTGGATTAATTGTTTTAGTAAATGATATGACTATTTTCACTTGGTTCCAAGAACGGTCGGGTCTACGTCCCGGACTCACTTGTCACCTACGACGACCAAGTACCGTTCAACACCTCCCAAAGAGACTCCGCAGGTTCCGGCGGGTTACAACAAAAACAACAACAACTATGTTCACTTTATTTTTCGTTTCTCACTGTTTAAATCCTTAGATACTAATTTTCTTTTGAATCCTCTATAAACATTATAAATCCATACATAGTAATCCCTACATTACAGAGGTAATGCAATTAAATCAATCTTATTTATTGAAGTATATACCTAGATAACAGGTAATCAAAAAAAAAATTATGTTTGATTTTCCCATATTAATAAAACAAACTTCGTTAATATTTTTAAAAATAGACTATTAAGGGGAGCGGAAGCAAAGTAAATAAAAATGATATACAAACATATATATTTTATGTATATTATTGACCTTCATTTTTTATAGATTTTCATTGAACTCTTCAAGACATATTTGTATAGATGGTCTGCTGCCTGCAAGTTAAAAAGTAACGAACGAAATATATAATAAAATAAATTCTTGATTAATTATTTCATGAAGGTTCAACAGCAAGTTTATTGCGATCTAAAAAAACATATTTGTAAATTTACCTGCTGCAATACGAGTATTCACATATACATTATTAAATCTTTTGATTTTTTTTGGTTGTAACTATCATCAAATAATTTAGACGCCGCATTTAAACTCTTCTGAACCGGTCCCTAACCCGTGATAACATTTGTAATTTGTTTAGAAATAAAAACGCAATTCGGGTTTACCACATACATACATAGATGTACTTAACGACATACTTAAGTCAATTTTTATATACAAAAAAAAATTTATAATTTTAATTCTAAGTAATATAGAAAAAATACGTCACAAAATATATTTATAATTTAAGTACGCATTGGTAACCGAATTATTAACAGTGTTAAGTATATAAGATTATACTTGTATATATATATATATATATTTAATTGTTAGTTATGCAGAATGTCAACAAAATGTGAGATAAGCTATAAGTGGTCTTCTGGGCTAATATACTCACACGTCTCTTATCTGAATTCACTTATATTAATGAAAAAAAAACCTTCTTAAATGCCTACCTTGAACAGTTTTTTATGACACCATAGCTGATAAAATTATAAATATTCGTATATACAATGGAAGATAACAAATATATAAAGTATCAATAAAAAAATTTGGTTTTTTCTCGAAATCATTTATAAGTGTGCCTCAATAAAAACTATTGATATATAGTCCACAGATTTAATTGATATAAATCAAATAAACAATTCAAAGCACTTGTAATCAAGAATAATACAAGTGAACTTTTCTATAATCAAGAGGGGTAAACCTAATATTTTGGGTAATATTCAATTTGTTAAGACCAATTTCCATACTTTCTAATGAATTACGTATTTTAAATAAGTATATATTATTTGCATCTTATCTTCCATGTTGTTAGTATTGGTAATTGACTGTGCAGTATTGAAAGATAGACAAGGCACTCAGTAGAGTCCATTCACCAAATTTGAAGACTCAGAATGTGATAATTATGTACGTTTAATATGATACATTGTAAATGATTTTAAAAACACTTTACTGTCGGACAAACGTACATAAAAATAGACAAAGTTATAAATAGCGGATAGATATTTGAATTGATCATGGATTACATATTAATGACAGCGTCATATGCTTTAAAAGTTGTATATACCTATCTTAAAATCGTAGAAAAATACAAGAGCTATACGGACCAAGATAAATGTGTGCGTATAACTATAGCTAAACCTGTGGGAGATACGTTCCCTACAATACAATAAAGACCGAATGAAATATTAATAAAAACAACAAACTATTGTATATACATTCCCTGCAATACTATAAAGATCTAATAAAATATGAATAAAGAAAACACAACGCTTATTTAAATCTAATTTTAAATCAGTGTTTTATTGTAGTTTTAAAACGTAAAAGTAGTGTAATATATGCATTAAAGTATTCAAGACTAACGGATAACGGATTCAAGAACTCTGAGTGTGAACGCTCCAACCATACATAGAGACCGTGATGTGTAGTAGTAAGTAGTAGATACGATACAAATAGTCGCACTATGCTTCAGTTAGACTTAACTTAATTCTTGTTATAAATTATGTAGTAAGAATTTCAATTGTAAATACTGTAATAGATTCTCTAAATTCCTTGGTGTCGTTTAAATGTATTATATCAAATGTCAAGTCTACTTATTTTTTGTTGTTAATTACGTAAATACTCTTTAAAATTAATAAATATATTTTATATGAACGCTTCTTCATATTATTTTGAACGCGGTAATAATACTTAATATATTCTCTATTAAGAAGTATCTGTATATTCCGCAACTTTAAACAATCAAAATACGAACTCATATATAATATATATATATATCTTCTTATTATTTACCTGAAGTAATAAAGTAAAATAATTCCATAACAGGTAGAAATACTTTAATTGTCCTTTTTTCTAATTAAACATAAACGAGCTTTGTATAGGCGTTTTTCAGGTAACTTCATGTTCCCTAACCCTTTTTTTTATTATTTTATGAAGAATATGCATTGCAAATGTTCAATAATGAACACTAGATTTTCATCTGTAATTCTAAGAAATAATATAATTTGTCTTCAGCAAAGTAATATAAATAAGTCAAAAATTGTTTACCAACTTCAGTATCTTACAAATATTCAAAGTGTTCATATTGAGTCCTTCGAATCAGATATAAAGACAAAATAAATAGTTTTTACTTTAACAAACAAAGAGGCTCGCATAATGTCTTGCAGAAGTTCATCATATCAATCAAACTTATCATCAAATTCTTCATCGTATCAATCAGACTTATCCTCAAATTCTTCATATAAAGAATATAGGCGTAAGAAACGTTCATATAGAAATCGAGATAGATCGTCTAGCAGAGACAGCTATGAATCAGAAAATCGTTGTAATCGCGCCAAATGTTATGATATTCGCAGCAGCAGAAGAATAGAGCAGGAAAATAACCGAGAACGGCATCAAAGCACTGAACAGAAGAGAGATAGTGAAAAGTACCAGCATAAATCGAAAGGTAGTAACGATCGCAGTGACTATCGTAGAAATAATGACAATAATCTTATGAATGAGAAAAGGAAACGTAGTCGAAGTCGTGCTCCATTACGAGAACAGAATACAGAACAATATTCATCCAAAAATGAAAAGAAACACAAACGTTATAACCGAGATAATGATGATGAAAGTTATGAATGGGGCAAGAAATTGAATAATAATAATACTGATGAATCGTCTACTAAACCAATTGAAAAAGAAAAGCCCAATTTTGGACTAAGCGGAGCTCTCACTGAAGATGCAAATAAAGTAAATGGTACTGTTGTGAAATATGCTGAACCACCAGAAGCACGAAAACCAAAACGAATGTGGCGTCTATATCCTTTTAAAGGTGAAAAAGCACTTCCAATATTGCATATACATCGGCAAAGTTGCTTCCTTGTTGGTCGTGATCGAAATGTAGGCGATTTAATTCTGGATCATCCAAGTTGTTCAAAGCAACATGCTGCTTTGCAGTACAGACTTGTACAATATGAACGTGAAGATGGTACAAAAGGAAAACGTGTACGACCTTATCTCATTGATTTGGAATCTGCAAATGGAACATTTCTAAACAATAAAAAAATTGAATCACGTAAATACTATGAGTTAATGGAGAAAGATGTAATTAAATTTGGATTTAGTACTCGTGAATATGTTCTTCTTCATGAAAACAGTAAAGATCAAGAAGGAGATGATGACATTAAACAAGAATCAGATAATAAAAATGAGTAATTAAATTTGTCTTAATTAAGATTATTTATTAATTAAGATGTCTTATTTGTGTTATTTTGAATATTCTATGTCAACCTATACAAATTTAATATTATAACCTTTTTTATTAAAAATACGTATAATAAAATAAAAAATTTCATTATTAAATAGTATTCGAATTTATTTTTACCTTATATATTTGCAATTGATAGATCTTAGCCATTCGACATTTTACAACGTCGTAAGAAAAAACTGCTCTTCATCGATCTATGTACCACATTCCCTTAACTGATTTATTCAGAATTATATTTTTCAGTTTTTTTTTTATATTCTTTTATGAATCAATGGTTTGAAATTGATTATTTACTAAAAAAAATGTCGAAATTGTATATATTATATTCTAGATCGACACGTCATGATGAATTAGTTTAAATAAATTCCACTATACCACTATAGTATAGTAGTATAAATTCCACTATAGTATATCTATAAATAGTATATGTAAATGAAGTCTACTTTTGAAATAATTTGATTGAACTTGTGATATAGTTTGATTCCAGTAGCTTCTTAGAGCTTCCAGTAGCGTCTTAGAGCTACTTAATGTTGCTCTTCGGGGTCACAACAGGTTCATTATACCGACTACTACATCAACATGACTCCATGAGATCCACTGTCTAAAATATACTAGGTATTTTTATTTTATGTATGTATTATATATTGGCAATTTCATATGTGAGGAAGGTGATGTTCTATCAATAACTTCACTTCTTGACATTTCTTCAAATGTTATAAAAGTTTGACAGTACGTCTGTCGGTTTTACTTAATATTTTAGTGAAATATTAAAAGTATTTTTGAATTTGGGTTTCACCTTAAAAATAGTTATTATTTATATAAAGAAAATTTTAAAGTACTTCTTTAATAAATACTTTTATAAATTATAAATTATTAATATTTTTCAAGCTATAAGTTCTGTACCATCCTTCAACTGAAATATTTGAACGAAATTGAACATAAATTATAAAAAATTATAATTTAATAACTTCCCATATTTATTTATATATACATTTATACATTAAAGATACTCAATATAAAGTATATAAAGAAATTCATAAAGACTATCATAATGTATCCAAGTCAAAAGTACTTTCGTTAAATATTCAACAAAGAACTCACCGAGTTCTTTGTTCTGTTTATATGTACTAAGTAAAATAAATAATAAAAAAAATTATTGAAAATTTATCTTTTGTATGTATGATGACGCAAAAGAACTATTATTGAATCTATCTCGGGCGAGTTCTCTGATAAGAATATGTCTGAGAGGATGTTTTTAAGTTGATCCACTTAGTTTTTCTTGACCTATGTAATAATGTAAACAAATTATTTTAAATTTCAAAAAAGATTTGTGTTAAACAATTTTAAAAAATATTAATTTATTCCATTTAAGATCACACCACATATTATAATAAAACATTATCATAATCAACATTTTGCAAATTCATTTTTTTAAATTTCCTAGCAACTAAAAATATAAAAATTTTTTTTTCTTTCTATTCTATTTTTGCAAACACGATTTAGAGATTGATATATTAAATTTAAATAAATTTAATTTTGGTTTTGTTCAAATTTATTTTTAGATAAGAAAGCGCGGGGGCTCGTCAAGCAAATAAATTTGATATCAACATGGATAGCGTACGTACATTTTTCGCCTCTTTCAGCAAAGATGCCGGGCATTCAAATAATCAACAAAATCGTTTAGGAGCTTTTTCGGGAATAAACACAATTGGCAATGGTAGCATTGCCAATGGGTCTAATGAACATCCTGATACTAAAATAACAAATCAAAATGAGGTTAAGCAAAAGGACATGGATAGTTACTTCTATATAATGTAAGTATGAAAGAAGTTTATATTCGTGAAAATAATAAAATAAAAATGAAAAGAAATAAAACTAAGCATGATATTTTTAAATTGTTTAAAATTAAAAAAACGGGGGAATCTTCATAATTTCAAAAAGTATAATAATATTTCAAAAAGTTTATACAATTAATGTACTAATAAATGTCACAAAAAGTACAGAAAATGAAAAAAATTTTGATTTATTTTGTTAATATTTATTTGTCACATTGAAATCAGGTCCTATTTATTGCATCGTGCAAAGGTCAATATTTTTTTCAGGTTTCAAAACACATACTATGTGAAGTTTTCAGTATAACCTTCAGTTCCCCCGAAGAATTTTACTTTATAACTTTAATTGGATTAATATGGGTATCAGGTATTTGACAGCGATTCTTAGAAAAGTCAACTATTCTGATGAATTTTTTTTTACTAAGCTATATGTCAATGTAGTTTAGTTTTTAAGATATTGAGCATTAACAACCTACTAAAGACAATTAGATACGCGAGAACATATTTAGTGAATTTAGTTGGCTTATTGACAGTATTTGATAAACAAAGGTTTAAAAATTAATGACCTTTCCTTATGCTAAAATGAATTTTCATATTTAAGATTAAAAAATAAATTTATTGTGAATTATTAATAACTATTGTAGTCTTTGCTGTACTGGTCTTATTGTTAAAAAACAAAAATTATCAACATGTACTTTAAAAAAAAACTATCTGAAAGAATATATCATTTATAATTTGTAAACATTTTTTCAGTTATATCTAAAAAAAAGGTCTTGATGCGTAATTAAGTCGTCCATTTTACTTACCTCGTGTTTTACTTATTTTAAACCATGGACAAGTTATCCTTCTGTACCATAACCTTACTTCAACAGCCTTTAAGTATTCATATTTATTTATATTCTTTTATTCAATTTTTTCGTAACTACCAATATTACGAGTTGCCCCCAAAAATGGAACTATTTTACAGTCTTGATATTTTTTCAGTTTTAGCAATTTTTCCTATATAAACACACAAACTATTACTTCGCTAATCCGGATTCATTAAAATTTGGATCAATGTGGATTACTAATACTTTTGAATTTTGGGAATCATATTAAAAAACCAAGAAAATTTCTATATATGCAAATATATTCATATTAACCGAAATTTAATTAAAACTAAACAATAATCTGTTGTCCATTAAGTTAACCCATAAATAAAATGACACATCCACATTATATATGATAAATTGTATAAGTAAATAGCCTACAAAGCATATAGGCGAATAAAATATACCTACATGTATGCCCGTACCTAATAATTATGATTTATTTCCTTACGTTAACGAGCAGAAATGTCTATAACAACTGATCCGGATTAGCGAAGCAGTAGTCGATAAGGACTATAAGGTATATCATGTGTATTACACAAATTTGGAATTAATTTTCTGTGGTTACAAGACAATCGAATTACCGAAAATTCAGACTATCGGATCAGCTTTATCTTTTTATTTTAATATAATTATAATTTTACTATTTTGGTTCATAAACCAAAGTATAGTAGTATTAAAATTAATATTAAACTAAATCGAAACTAATGATAGATTTTTTTATTTATGGAATATAAGCTATAATTTCGATAGGTGCGATTTGTTAATAAATAACAGAATTTATGGAATTCTGGTTTTTCATTGAGTAGTAAATTTTGGTTTTCACATTTTTTTCCGTTTTAAGTAAAGTTAATTAATACTGAATATATGTATTTATATCCGGCTTTATGTTTATACTTTACGTTCTGCTTCCCTCGTACTCATACATTAATTTAGATTATTTCTTATCACTTTAATAAATTTATTAATTTTAGGCAAGTGCGTCGGTTTTACAAATTAATAAACACTAATTTGATTAATATATTTTTTGCGATTTTATAAAGAAAAATATGTGTGAACTGGATTAATAGGTATCGTAAATAAAATACATACTAATATTACGTCTTTAATAATATTCGAAGTTATTGCGATTTTTAAAAGTAATGTTAAATTTAATTAATGTTGATTTTTAACATTAAAGTTTATAGTTGTAAGTGCTTTCGAATTCTGTTATTCTTTTGAGATTATTTATGCTATTAGTAAAATTTCTATCAAGCGATAAAATCGGTATTCAAGATTCCATCATATACTTAGGTAATAACATGGTCGTACGAGTGTTGCTTATGAAATCCTATTGAAAATAGATTGTGAGATAGGCAGATAAGTTGTGAGTGTGTCAATTTACATTATTTGAAATATATTCCACTAAGTTTTAGGCAGCAGAAAGCTTTCCGTATATATGGTGTCATGTTATTTGATCTTAGAACAAAAATACAATCGTTTCAATAGTTCTACATTAAGACTGAAAAGTTTTCGGAAATTCTCATTTAAAATTCGCGCGCTGTATATTTTTCGATATTTTAAGTTTATGTAGTTTGGCAGCACTGTCCTTAATTACTATGCCAAAAATGAGCTCGATCTGTCAGACAGTTCGTTTACGGCAGCTGTTGAAACCAGTTCACCTCAGTAGTGCGTTGCGAAATGTCTTCGACGGTCGTACGACCGTCCTGGAAGGCTTTGTACCACTCATAAACTTGAGTTTTCGATAAAACTGATTCCCCATAAGCCTTTTGTAGCATTCGCAACGATTCTGCACACGAAATTTCGTTCGAAACACAAAATTTGATGCAAACTCTTTGTTCAATATTTTTTTCCATTGTTTTTTTCGCAACGCCCTACTGAGGTGAACTGGTTTCAACAGCTGCCGTAAACGAACTGTCTGACAGATCGCGCTCATTTTTGGCATAGTAATTAAGGACAGTGCTGCCAAACTACATAAACTTAAAATATCGAAAAATATACAGCGCGCGAATTTTAAATGAGAATTTCCGAAAACTTTTCGGTCTTAATGTAGGACTCGTGCCATCAGGATTGAAGTAGTACCAGCTAGACTTTTACCACTGATTATTATACAATTTTAATTCAGAGATTGAAGTGGATTGAATAAGATGAAAGACCTTGTAATAAGGTAAAGACTGCGAGGGTAGTAGAAAAGTTTCTGGAGATGCCAAAGATCACGTGCAAAATAAACAGATTTTTTCTAACCAATCCCCTTTCCTTCGGAGATTAAAGTGAATTGAAAAAGATGAAGGATATTCTATGCTCTTTTCTACTGCGTAGGTAGTAGAAAAGAGCATGGTTATGATATCTTGAGATGTTGGGGATCACATGCAAAGTAAACAAAGTTTTTTTAATCAATCCGTTATACCGACTCACACTAAGGGACGAATTAAATGCAAACGTCTTATCCATTATATATAGACAATTCAAATTAATTTCTCGCAATGCACAATTCAGTGATTCGATGTTATAAAAAAATAAATTCATATTTAACTTCCAAAATATGTTATGAGATGTTATTACAAATAATTTTTATTTCCTTGCTTAGTCGTTAATATCCGGCAAGATTTTTATTATTTCTTATCAACTGATTGATGTTGAAAATAACATGAGTATTACTGTTATTATATTCAATAAATTATTGTTATTATTGTTATATTGTATGTATATGTGGTTGTGTGAAAATGAGTAAATTAACTATCAATCAAACCAAGAACTCATTGCCCCAATAAATTTATGGTCTATTTTAGTTAAAGATCAAGTGAAATAACATTAATATTAGGAATACATGTTTTGCTATTACATATGATGTGATGTATGCGTTTATGCGCAAGAGAGAATGTAAATAAGCAAATTTGTAACCCCAATAGCCAATTATTTAGCCATTACGATATAGTATAGTAGTATTTTATTATTTTCTGTTATGTTTATCGTATATGTATAGTGCAAGAATGAATGCGAGAAAGTGTCAAACAAACCATTGCCCATACCATAATTAATCTGTTAATATAAGTTCTGTGAGAGATGAATTTATTATTATTTTATTTAATTATACAATATAAAAATATTGTATAGTTGTATGTTGTATTGCATAGATGTTTTTAATATTAGGAATTCTGCTAATTAAGTTAAAAGCCGAAATACGTATAAAAATATACTCAATATAAAAAATTTCAATATAAAATTTAAAATTCTTAAAAAAAATTGACTTTAATAAAAATATAGCTACAGTTTTGGCTATTTAGCTAACACTGACTTCTAAGCTTCATATTTGGCAGGGTACGACTTCAACCCTTGGTACTTACAGTCTCAAAAAATTATTTACGAATGTAAGAAATAATTACAAGATCACTGTTGATGGGTATTTGGCAATACTTGATACAGCAGTATGATTAGCCAAAAAAGTAATTAATTAAAAATAAATTAAACTTTTTGTTGTTACAATTTATTATTATTTGAAACCTCTCTATTAAATAAATAGTTTCTTTTAAGTAAAAAAGTCACTGCTATCATAGCTGACATTAAACCTTCTGCTCAAAAGTATCCGGATTTTGTTTTTTGTTAACTACTCCTTAAGTAATAGACCTTTTTCAAAAATGTACACCCTTTCTTGACAGTTTATAGCAGCTGTTAATGTAAGACTACCTCAAGTGCATTGAACGATTTTTACTATGGAAAATTCTTGATGTACGCGATTTTTTGACCAAACAGGGCACCACTGCCATCGCTTAGGCACCATATTCGTCAGATTTGGCGTCGTGCGACTTTTTCCTGTTCCCGAAACTCAAATTGCCCCTTCGTGGTAAGCGTTTTAAGTCGATTGAGTCAGTAAAAGAGAATTTGCCGAAGGAACTAAAAGTCATATCTGCACGGGCTTACGAAAAGTGTATGGAAGATTGGGTTAAGCGTTGGTATATGTGTATCGCTTCAGAAGGAGCATATTTTGAAGGAGATAAAATAAATTTGAAATAAAATTTAAATTTGTGTGTTTTATTTACAAAATCCGGGTACTTTTTAAACTGGAGGTAATCAAAATATATCTACAAAAAGATTTGATTCCTTTATGGCACTTTCTTTTTTTGTTTTTTGAACTAATGGATTAATTTTTAATTCAATTCAACTCTTAACAAATTTACATATTTTAATTTGAAACAATTTTCAATATCTCAATCAATGTCCCAAAATTTATTTATTCACCAATCGACAAACATTTCTGTATGAAATTTTTTATTTCAGTACAGATTTTTATATACAAATTGCTGCCATATAAAGATACTACAACATTCAACTCACATAAACATCAAAATCATCTGACACTTCTAGTGAGATACTAACAGGTTCACCCACCAAAAAGAGTAAATGGTGCTCATTGACATCTACTCGAATAAAAATTAATAAATATTGTGTAAAATATATATTTATTTTTTTTATTTCGAACACTTTTATAAAAATTAAGCAGTGTGAAGGGTATTTAAATTTCGGTATAGCCAACGCTAAATGTTTTCTTTGTTTTTTTTTTTTTTAGTTTTATAAGCTTTTGTTTATGTTTATTCTTAAACATTATCGCAATTAAAAAATTTTTTATCAAAATATAAAATGAAAACAATTTATATACAAAATATAATAAATTTATAGAAATACAAAGAAATGCATTTGTTTTTTAGTTTTTGTTTTAGATCTAAGAATTTTGCAGTATTTTTAAAAAATATTTTGTTAGTCAGAGGTAAACATTCGATATAGTCCGTAGGTATTTTGAATCTAATAATATTTGAACAGAGTGAGAGAGGCGGGCGTGTTTATTAAGTGTTTTAATGGTACTCTAAATAAAAAGCTTTTTCACTTGCATAAATTACAGAATTGATTCATTTATAAAATGATATATTTTTTATATGCATTTATAATAGAATAAATTTGAAATAAATAAATCATACTTTAAATAAATTAAATTGTTTACCTTGAACAAAACAAAAAACTCACTATTAACTAAAAGTATAATCAATAGAAATACAGACAATATTTTTTAAAGCAAATAAACTAAATTTATTTCGCATAGTCCAAAAAGAATGAAAAAAGAATGCGTACATTTAATCGAATATTATTGTTGTGGTATAAGTGACTCATTATCTAAAGTTATGGTTGTAACTGTCAAGTCCGGAATCCAGTTTCTAAGCTTTAAATTGGCTGGCCAAATGCCCAAGTCGTCGAAGCTTACTATTTACTCTAAGTTGCAAGCTTAAGTCTCAAGCTCCATGCATGAAGTGTGTTCGATAAGCTATTTTTTCGCGCCTTTAGTTTTGAGAACAAAGTCAGTCTTAGAAAAATTCAAGCAATTGAAATCAGTCTTAAATTAAAACTCAGTTCAATCAATACGTTCATGAGTTGAATTTATCTAGAAGTATTATCTTTATGAGCATGACGTCATATCGATTATCACAAAGAAAGTGCTAAAAATATTTCCAACATTTTGTTTCATTGTAATTATTAATAATGTTTTTTTCGTTGCCTTTGCTTTGGACTTAATTATATTTTTATCTTTTCATAAAATTTGTGTTTATAAATATCACAGAATTTAACACCAAACTGAAAGTTTAGTAATCCGGGATAACGCAATATTTCGTTATAAAAGGCGTTGAATCGAAGTTACCAAATTACAGTTACACAGTGAAATCAGCAGATAAATTTGTATTTATTTTACTGAGCAGAAATATATGTAAGTGATTAAAAAAATTATATATTGTGTAATCAAAAAATCTGGGTGCAATAAAACCGGAATCACTTCTCGTCTTTATCAATTTTAAAGGAAAAGATAATATTTTTTATTATATGCATTTTTACAGATACATATTATTAATTAGAGACGAAAGCGATAGCCCTATTCACTTGCTTTAAATAATTATCATAAAAATAATAAATGAATAACTTAATAAGTTAACTACTAAAAAGTTGATTTACTCAACCAAGAAATTGAAAATTTATGTGAACTTTACAATACTAAATAATCAACTACCATAAACTAGTCAAGGAAAAAATATGTTTAATTCAATATGCATTTTATTTAATAAATATTTATTTATTTATGTATTTACAATTATTATGCATACTATTATATACCAATAGTATGCATATTATAGAGCAAGGTGTTACTATATAGCAACAAGGCCTTAAGCTACTAAATTTACTTTTATACATTGATTGTAAATTACAATAATAACATTATATATATATTATAGAATTTTTATATTTGATTATATACGTTGATTGTTTTGAGAAAGTTAATTGTTTTTATAATATTTTCCCACATGAGATTCAATATTGTGATATTACGGAAATGACTGTGCTTATAATGAAAGAAGTGAGATTTATGAAATAATTAAAAAGCCTTACTTTACAAAATATATATATTTATATTCATATATATAATTAATATGAATATCAATTAAAAGAAAATCTTGCTTTTCTAAGTTTTATACATAGAAAATTAATTAACTATTCATTTTTCAAAACGATTACAAAATCTTATAATTTATAATCAAAATTTTTAATCACTTTGACACAGACTTGTTACTGTAAATTCATTTAAAAAAGTTTTCCAGATTAAAATCAAAACTTATAGAATATTGTAGCTATTTTAAAATTAATCTAACCGATAAGATTTTTAAAACTGATGATGATTGGTTTATTTTTGTTGTAACCTATACAGTTTACCAATTTTTACACACATTTTTTTGTTCACTATCTTTTCGAAACGATCGATAAAACTTCTACGAAAATGTTGTTAAAATGACTCTTGTTTATTGCCAGTGTAACGTATATAGTTTACTAATAGGACTCCGCCAGAAAGAGCAGCAGTCAGAACCTTCGAGAGTGAAGTTAGAACAACCAGAAAAAAAGGAACACAGAGAAAAAGATGGCATGATAAGAGTGTTCGACAAGATCTGAGAGATATAAAGATATGAATGTCACTTAGGTCCTACATGGACCTAATAACTATGAATGATGATGAATAAAACTCTGCCGGGATTTATATACAAATGTTGACCGGAATTGATGTTTGGTTTAATTTTATTTACCTAATAACCAATTTTTTAAAACATAGTAATATTACAAGAAGAAATTTTTTGTTAGCATATTTATTGTAACTAAATTATAAGCATATATGACAACCATATCCAAATTTATACCTACGAACTTTGTTTACAATAAAAATTCAATTGAAAAATTAATGATATTATTATCAAATTCAAAAGTTCTCAAATTTAAAAGAAATCTCAAATTCAAGCGAACTCAGTACAGGGTTTAAGCATGGGTTTGAATTGGAAACGTTTTCAAGAGTTTCTTACTACATTATAAATAAATTTTATCATTTGGTGGCATGTATATATGTAATATAAAGTCTTCAAAAAAAAAAAAAATTAGAAAATATGAAATTTTCATATATATGTACTAAGCAATACATATGTCATTTACAAAACTAAAAAAAGAGGTTACAGACATTTATACGAAACATTATTAATATTACAAGAAAATACGAATTTTGAAGGGGCAGATCCATTTACTATAGTTTATGAAGAAAGCATATAGAGGCATATATACATTTCCCATATTGTATAAGGAAATGTATTGATCTGTAAATAAATATATGTATATTCTCTCCAAATTTATATGAAAATATGTTAAAAATATTGTTTTTGTTTAATAGAACAGTGGAACTACCCGGGCTACAATAGACCTTAAGAATATTATATTGTAAAGTAGCTGCAAATAATAATAATAAATCACTGTTCTTTTCTACTGAAGTTTACTATAATAACTTCGTTAACTAATGTTGCCCTAATAAAAATATTTCTATAAAATTCATATTTACAAATCAACAAATGTTGTGTGAATAGGTCTTATATCTGGTAAACAGTTTACATACAGTACTGATTCTATATTTTAGCCCTAAAGCTTTATATTTTAAAAATAAAAATTAAACAAAAACCATTTGAAAAATATATATGCAGTCTTACGTAGTTCTGAAATATATATTCCACTAGAATATCCTTCAGAACTGCACGTAAACGATGCTTAAGTTTAGTATGACATAGTTAAAAAAGTATACCATGGTGATATATTGTTTACAGTCTGTATACATTCATATGTTTTGAAATTTTTATATAAATAACTTATTTTATTAAAATTAAAATATAATTTAAACCTTTTTTTTAATATTTTCAGGTGGCGTTCATAAATTTGACTTTGGTGTTGTAAATTTTACCTTACTTACATGGACGAAAATATTTTAACAAAAAAAATATGCTTCATCTCTACATGGAGTGAATCCAATATCGTCCAAGGAAAGCTTTAATTCCTGTTTAACAAATCCTCCAAATATTTTAATAAGTGCAACTGGTCTTTTCTAGTTGTAGTGATATTAGCCCATTGGTAAGTTACATATTTCAATTATTACATATATTATTGAAATCATTTTTATTTAACTCATATATATTTTTTTGTTATATTTTCTTTATCATATGCCATATGCAAAGAATTTAATCTTTGAATTATATAAAAAATATATTAACATTATTTTAACATTTGAAATTTTAATTACATCATTTTTATACTGCATGGACCCAATGACAATTTTTTTAATAATATTTTATATGTTGTCCATGATCATATTTGGTCCAATAATCTTTTTAATATGCATTTATTTACCGGAAATTCCAGTTAGGTACATAAAAAGTAGAAGATAAAACTTTAAATATTTTTTTAGTTCTACAATATATATATATATATATACTGTATACATACTCTTATATGAATTTTGTAATAAAGTTTTATTTATATACATAATACAATTTAATCTAATGGTTTTTCATTTATTGAAATATTCTGATAAGATATGTATTTGGTTGATAGTATCATATATTTTTTTTTTGAACTTTAGGAATATGGAAATTAGATAGAAATCTATAGCATATACAAGAGTTAATTTTTTGTGTAAAAGATACTATGGTATTAAAGAATAAAAGCAATTGGCGATATTTGAACACCACACAAATCCTTTTTGTTTATTGCTTTTTAAAAAAAATTGTCTTTATCTGTGTTTCTACTTTAAAGTTCCTTTTATTAACAATAGAATTAAAAAGGAGGAATATTGAGGCAGCTCATCAATATTGATGACTATGTGCCGCTTACCCTCCACAGTGAAAAGAAAAACAGGAATATGTTTAGGTACGTAGGTCTGGCTGCCCGACACCATACATAGCGATACCATGACCAAACTTTAAAAGATAGTTTACTCTAATATCGGGGACGAAGTTTAGCCCCTTAAAGCTATGCACAAGTTTTGCAATCAGGTGCGGGCTGGTGAAAATATAAATAAGTATTCTTCAATTTTTTCAATCGAACAAAACATTAGATGATATTTTAATCGAGTATATGTTTTCTTGTGATCCTGGCTACATAAGTCATTTTACCAATCTTTCGGTTTTTTTAACATGTGTTCATCAGTTGTCTGTATATATCGTGCAAAGGTTTTAGTATATCGCTAATTTGCTTCTCTGCAAAGTAGAGGCCAAATTTATTAATATTATCAATAATTTAATTTCCCTGTTATAGTCAGGAATCTAAATTACACATAGCCCACGGCTGATTCAATCTGTTTATGATCGGTGAACTACCACTTGCGCACATTTTTGGAAGATATCCAGTATGTAGATGCTGCCTACATGACCGCTTGACTGTTTATAAAGACTGATTGAATTTGTTTATGGTCTATTACCACTTGCGCTCACTTTTGGAGGATACCCAGTATAAAGATGCTGCCTATATGACGCCTTGACTATTTAGAAAGATATTATATGTAAGTGCGGAGTTGTTTTAAACAAACAAGTTCCGCTGGTTTTATAACAAAAACTATTTCATGTCCAGTTCAACACAGTATGCACAGTAGTATTTTAAACCTAACTGTATAATATCAAAGGTATTATACATATGTTCCAAACTTTTGAATCTAACTTTTTTTCCATAATTGTTTTGTTCGTTTTGCCAATATGTATGATCGGTATCATATTGTCTGAACTAACTATAGCATTAAGACTAAAAGGTGTTTAAAATTATATTTTTTTGGAACAGTTTATGTTCTGCCATCATTAGGAATCGTTCTGCATTCTGCCATTGTATATATATATTTTACCGAAGATCAAATACTTTCTGCTTTAGCATAAAATTCTGCAAACATGTAAAATTGTTATATAGGATGAATGTAACGCGATCCATAAGAAATTATATGAAGCGCTAAATCGAATTCTTAAAGACCTACGTTTAAATTCACAACTCTTCGGTGGAGCTTTTACTTTATACCAATCGAATTTTGGCAAAGTCTACTTGTTTGTCTTGCATTTACAATGACCAAAAGCAACACAAGATTAATCTCTATCCATATTTTATACATCAAAAGGAGAGAAGGAAAACATAATGTATTGTGGATCCCCAGTATTAAAATAAAGCACTTAACTATAATTTTATTTTACTTTTTTTTATCACTCTGAAATTATTATGATTTGTAGTTTGCAACACAAAAAAGTTTTAGTTGTTTGTATACAATTCATTATTTTTTAAAACTCAAAATTATATAGCTTCTTTATAAATAAATATTATACTCATGTTTTTATAACTATTTATTTTCTTATTATATGATATATTTACCTGTAATATTTTTTTGATCAATTTAATATAAAACAAAAAATTGTTATTTATCGAAAACCATAACTGTCAAAGATTAGAATAAAAATTCAATTTAATTTTGTAATATTTACATACTTTTATTAAATTGTTATATTGAGAAATGAGTTAAAAATCCATTTTATTAATTACAAAATAGTGGTAATGGCAGAAGGAGAAATACCGGAAGAAACTCGAAGGTATCCTGTGCATTTGAATACATTTCGTATTCCAGATGATGAGAAACTTCTAACAGCATATAATGTATATCAAGCAACTCCTCAAACTATCGAACTAAAAAGTGAAAGATATCGTGAATTATTTCCCGATGTCTTTTTACTTAATAAAAAATTAGGCACCCTCGCTGATATCTGTGTAACTACTTTAGCAAGAGAATATGGTCCGAAGGGTTTAGATGATTCCTTTAAAGATGATCCACTTAAGTGTCGTATTTTTTACGATTCTTTGGATATAGAAACAGCTTTAGAAAAATGTTATTTTGTTCAAGATGAGGGCTTTTGGCGTAGACTTGTCTTAGCAAAGAGTGAAGATAAATCATTAATTCACAAAGAATCAGTTGATTGGAGAGGTTTAGGAGCTTCATTAAAATTTGTTGAATTGGTAGAAGCATGTCCGTCTGAATATTGGCCAAAAGATGAGATGCAGCCTTTGGCTTTACTAATTAAGGATTTTGTAACCGACATGCATATAAGCAGATTACAAGCATTAGAAGATGGAACTTTAATGGAACATATCGATAGCGATCTATCTGAAACGGAAAGTGAAAGCGATATAAGTACTACCTCTGAGTCTGAGGTACCTTATGAAGATGAAAATGCAGAAGAAGAAAAAACTGTAGAGCAATTAGAAATGGAAAAAGAAAAAGCTGAATTAAGATTGGAACGAAAAAGAAACCATGAGGCAAGACGTGAAGCTATACGATTAAAAAAAGAAGCAAGAGAAAGGCAATATTATGGTATAGTAATCCCTGAAGAAGAGGTCGAAGAAGAACCACCTCCTGCACCAGTTAAAAAAAAAAAAAAAAAGAAGGCTATTAAAGACGTATTTGAAATAGAAATAGAAGAAGAAGAAGATGATCATGAAAATGAATTTAAAGATAAAAGAAACATTGGTAAAGCATTGGAAAAGGATAAAGGATATAAGTATCCCCCAAAACATTGCAATCATATAAATTTAAGTTTTATACGCTTCTTCGATAACTTGGTATCGTTCCAAATAGAGTTTCAGGGACCAAGGCTTGGACGTAATTATCATACAAAATATTTTCAATTTTCATATGAAGATGTAAAAAATTTAGGACGGTTAGTAAACAATATATTATAGTTGTTTATGATTTGTATACTATATAAATTATTGTATTGTATTGTTCTTAGGGGTTTATATGGATTAAAAGCTTTAAAAATATTTCGCTTACGTAACAGTCGCATGAACTCGAAAAAATTAAATATTCTACTTAAAACATTAATTGTTCTACAAGATTTAGAAGTATTAGACTTTGGATATGATCAACTACAAGACGATTGTTTGCGCTTATCAGACTTATTACAATTTACGAAAAACGTAAAATCAATTGAATTGGAAGGAAATTATTTGGGACCAAATGTAATGGAAAAGTTTGGTGAAGCACTTGAAGATTATAAAGGAGTAGTTGAATACGTAGGACTTGCAGCAAACCCTCTTGAAGATGCAGGTCTGCATAGTTTCGTAAGTGCTATAATTGGTACGGAGCAAGTATCAAAATTGTGTCTCAATGGAATTGAGGTTAGTCAGAGTGGCATAAGTTGTTGTATAGCTGACGAACTTTTAGCTTGTCACAAACCTTTGCAAGAATTGGATTTTAAAGGTGTACAAATTGAATGGGATACCAGTGAAGACATAATGAGGGCGCTTGTTAAAAATCAAAAGATTTCAAATTTTGATTGTAGAGGCTGTGGATTAGAATTTGAAATAGAATTCGAAATTGAAGTTATAATGAGAAGAAATAAATACATACAAAATAATCCATATATTGGTAACGAAAATGAAACAAAGGAGAGTATACTTGAATTTGCCCGTAGTGTGAAGTAAGTATGAGCAATTAAAGAATTATTAAACTAGTAACTTAAAAGTTACTATATTAGTTAATCAATATATTAAAAACATTAAAAATAGTATATGTTTAAAATAAAAATTTTAAATGAATTTAAAATTTTTATATTCACTCAACATGAGCTACTGTGATATTACACATATTTTTTTATACAAAGCCTATACAAAGCACACGTTTATAGCCATACATATGAACTTCAAGATAAATAGTAAAAAGAACATACAGATTTTAAGTCGAAATATGATTTGAATATGTTGTAACAAAAAAATTTATTAAATTAATTTTATTTCAATAGAAATCCCAGTTTATTAGAAGCCATGAAATATGTAGAAGATCGCATGCAATGTCTCGCGAAACGCCCCAATATATATGAACCTAAACCACCAATTCGGCCTTCAAGTGTATATTTCGATGTAGAAGAAGATGATTCATATTTCGCGTTCAGACACTTAGATAAACAAGAAGAAGAATTCAAATTCGATCCAAATGAATTTAATAAAGAAGAATTTTTAGAGCACGTTAATCTTCCAGGTCCAGAAGAGCGTTATTACTTCTTCAAAGTCAAAAAAGAAGAAGAAGAAAATTTAGATTATTAAAAAAATGTGGTCTTTTGCTTAGGATATTTTCTTTTGGATATAAACAAATCAATTTTCCAAATTCCATTGGTGTTACCAAGGATACGATTAACAAAATACGGAAGCGAAAATATTTAGAGTTTTCCGTGGTTTTAATGTTAAAGAAAATTTAATACATACGCTAAATTTATTTTTGATAAATTTATTTAATTTAAAATATTTATTAAATTAAAAATAATTCTATTATATTGTGAATTGTGAAAAATGTCTAAAAAAATAAGTATGCTTCATAGAATGAAAACCAGATTTTCAATGCAGAAGGTAAAAATAATTAATAAATAAATAATAACTCAACATATATTTCAATATTAGCTAATATAATACAAACAAATAAAACAACATTACTTAATTTAAGTGAAGATTAAAAGAATAGATGTGAAATAAATATATTTAATAAGAAAATGTACAATATGAGTATCGTTATTATAATAATGATGATTAAAATGATTTTTAACTTCCGTTTTGACGAAAGAAACTAAATTCTAAATTACAAGAATAAATTTTATTATTTATTAATTGAATTTTTGGCTGACCATGACAGCTGTTTCGACTATCGGCAAAATCCCATCAACAGTGGTCTTGAAATTATTCTTTATTATTAATAATTTGTAAATAATTTTTTTTTTGAGACTGCAAATTATCTGTGTTGAACTTGAGCCCTGCCAAATTTAAAGCTCAGAGTCAGTGTTCATTAGCCAACTGATTCAAAGCCGTACTTGACTTGTATCTTAGAATTTGGAGTTTTGTTTAGTTATTGTGAAAGTTCATTAACAAATTCACTTGCTGTGATGTATCAGATGAAATCATAAACCACCTGTAGAATAATTCAATTAATTAATTATATATTTTTAATAGTTAAATTTCAATACTATAATATTCTTTTGTAGAGACATTTTTTATGGTGTTTGGTGATTTAATGGTGTTTCCAAAATACAATTAAGGCAATTAAAAGTCTATATATGTATGTTTTATTAACTAGAAAATCATCGAAAAGCAGATTTTGGAACATCGATTTATCGTAATAAAACCACTCGGTTTTTTGTTTCATTTTGTTACTAACGTCGTAAGCTAATATATCTTGATTATATGGATTAGTAGTCTTTTTACATAAAAAAAATCTTTTTTCCTTAAAAAAAAGTAACATTGCTCAAGACTGTTTTTGAAACTGTAAACTCAAATATTTTGTAAAGAAACTACACATAATTCTCAAAGCTCTCTTTTAACATATAAATGAATTCAGATACCTTGTACAGTGAATAAATATTGTGCACTATGCAACTCGTACACTCTTTTCAACTTTGTTGCTAAATGTTTGCAGTACAAAAAATCCCAAGGAAAATCCCATTTAGTTTAGCATGAAATTAGAACAACTCGCACACGCCCTATAGTTTCATAATTTTAGTTATTTCGGTAACTGTTCACTGAAAGTCTAGGAAATAACACCTTTTGGTCAATTTAAAAACTGATACACTTATAATACCTATTGTCCAATATTACAACTGAAAGATTTATGTTTATACATAAATAAATCTGAAAACTGAAATCTGAACTGAAAGATTTATGTTTATATATAAATAAATCTTTCAGTTGTATAAAGATAAGCTAAGATAGATATTAATATAGACAAATAGATTTGATTAATACGTTTTGTCTTGTTAAGGCAAACAACAGTTTATATTCTGGATAGGTATAGGAATTTATACCTTATTAAAATTTTTTGTTTATAGGAAATCCAGTCACATATTTTTTATATATCTGTATTTATATATACTATATATATAAACACATATATAAATATATATAAATATTTATACTAACATACAGGCATATATATTTTTAGATAAATAGACTTGGTAAAAATAATTGTTCTTATCGAGATAAACTAGAAAGATTATAAGTTATTTATAGAATAATTCCTCACTGATTTACACTGGTTTACAGAGTCCACGTTATATGCTCTATGCATATTTTGTAATATTAAAATGAAATCGTTTTCAGATTCTCTACTTTATATCGATTTCGCCTATTTTATAGAATAATTTTTCATAGCTTTACAAATCTCTACTCTATTCACATTTTGTAATAGTAAAATAAAATCGCTTTTAAATTTTGTGCTTTATATAGATTAAGCCTATATTATAGAATAAATTTACACTGCTTTTAAAATATCATAGTCGACTTTATATACTCCATTTACATTATAGTAAAATCACTTTTCAATTATGTATTTCATATAGATTTAGCCGCAAACTATCTAAAAGGGCGAAGTTTATTTAAATCCGATTCCTGACAAAATATAAATTTTAAAAATATAAATTCTAATATAAATTGTAATATTAATTGCACATTTTATAAAGTTTACACACACCGAAGCCCGATCAATTGAAGAGTACAGTCACAATTTTTCTGATTTGCAATTTTTGCGTGGAAAATTAAAAGTATTCTTTGTACAACCTTTTGATTATCCTTGTATTTACATTTAATTTCTCTGTACTAAGCACAGAGTAGTGTAATTATATTTAACAAGTTCCAGGGTTTTCATAGCCTTAAGAGCAGAACTGTGTCAATATTTAATGTGCTTCCCTAGTGACTTGACTTTTATTTTTTACAGAGAGGAAAAAATCACAGGGCGTGGAAGTGGAGAAACCTAAAAACAAAGTTATGACTTTTTAATAATTTCTTAAGAAGTCAAAAGTCATCTGCGTTTCGATATTATTAGACTTTGTCACGCAAAACTTAATTTTGTGCCACGTTTCGTTACGAAAGTATCTCAACATGCAAAATTGTTGTAATTTATCCGGTATTTGTATTTCCGTACATTTTACATATGTTTGCTTTAATTTGCTCATACATAAATTATTAATATTAATAAAAGTTTCAACAAGTAGAATGGATTATATGTAATGTTTAAAGAACCAAAGGACTTATATAGTTTTTATAAATAGCTAAATGAAGGAATATATTTATAGAAAATTTATATATATTTTTATTATAAAAAAAAAAAATTGGTACTAATGACTAATAGATGAATACTATATAAACATATCGTTTTGATAAACTTTTACATGGACATTTTTTTGTACCTTAATGCATAGTTAAAGTGAAGTAGGTACGTTCTCTTTAAAGTAACAAAGCGCGCTGTGTGAAAAATATGCGGAATTATTAATTTGAAAAACGTGCATAAAAGACACCATCACCATTTTTGTAAGTTCGTAATACTGTAATGTAAGACCAAGCGATCTACTACCCACAGTGTTTACAACAGCGTTTCTGTAATCAAACTTTTGAGTGGTTTCCCATTGTTATCAGAATAAGAAATCAACGAAAGCTATCGACTAATCATCGTACTCGTCGAACAAATCTCTTTATGATTTTTTTTGTTCCCGAAGTTGACGACTTAAAGAAAGACGAGAGGAAGAAAACTCATTGAAAAACTTAAAAGTGTACGAAAATCAATGAAGGATTGGATCAAAACTAAAATAGTTGCATTGTACTTGAAGAGCAAAAAAAATAAATTCTGATTATTTGATGATTTTCTTCTGGTATAGGTATTTATTTAATTTTCACACAAATTACAATATAGTATGAATAAATGTTTTTAAAAAAAATATATATAATAACGCAAACATGATAGTGTACATATATGAACATAGCAATGAATGGGGGGACAAAATAGAGTACCTATATGTCGACTACTGATAGAAATGTGAGTCGATTGGACGCCGAGCTGGTAGAAAAAGAATTCTATCTATTTTGGCACAGCCGTAACCAACAAAAAGAATATGAGCATAGAAAACAGATAAAGAATTATAATAGCCAAAAGGTGCTACTTTGGGTTCTCGACCGATAAAACTACGCTCTATAAGTGATTTATCCTACGTGTGCCCAGTAAAGTTCTTCGTTAGTTGTGTGATCACTTACTAGTTGCTGACGACAACCGTATCAAAATGAACCACAATCTGTACGTATTTTATTACAACGTAGACATCATTCAGCGAATCAACATCCAGTAACTTCGCTGGCTTGGTTATGCTGTGGAAATAGATGATGATGCTCAAGTGAAAAGCGGCTTTTGAAGAAGACGTAGGAGAAGAGAAGACTGTGTCTTTTGTTGAGTGATCAAGTTAAAAGAGCGCTAACTGGGCTTATTGTAGAAACCTGGAAAAGATGGGCACGCAGCAGAGACACTTGGAGAGTAATGATGCGCCAGGCTGAAGCTCATTATTGCATTATTATGACCAAAAAGTAAGTAGTTCTTCGGGAAATATTGTTTTGAATAACTTTTCTATGTGCTATAAAAATGTGGTCACAATAATGATAAAGATTAAGTAGACTAGCGTGCATACATTAAGACCGAAAAGTTTTCGGAAATTCTCATTTAAAATTCGCGCGCTGTATATTTTTCGATATTTTAAGTTTATGTAGTTTGGCAGCACTGTCCTTAATTACTATGCCAAAAATGAGCGCGATCTGTCAGACAGTTCGTTTACGGCAGCTGTTGAAACCAGTTCACCTCAGTAGGGCGTTGCGAAAAAAACAATGGAAAAAAATATTGAACAAAGAGTTTGCATCAAATTTTGTGTTTCGAACGAAATTTCGTGTGCAGAATCGTTGCGAATGCTACAAAAGGCTTATGGGGAATCAGTTTTATCGAAAACTCAAGTTTATGAGTGGTACAAAGCCTTCCAGGACGGTCGTACGACCGTCGAAGACATTTCGCAACGCACTACTGAGGTGAACTGGTTTCAACAGCTGCCGTAAACGAACTGTCTGACAGATCGAGCTCATTTTTGGCATAGTAATTAAGGACAGTGCTGCCAAACTACATAAACTTAAAATATCGAAAAATATACAGCGCGCGAATTTTAAATGAGAATTTCCGAAAACTTTTCAGTCTTAATGTATACATATATGCGTAATTTCTATCTGCATCATATGTAATATATGAGTATATTTGTATTTTAAAATTACCTATCTTGTTGAAACATAGGTGGTTAAATTCACATATTACCTATTAAATTCTTGAAAAGAATTTTAATGGTCAGTGCGTAGATCTCTATGCATATCTATCATTCTGAGATATCATGCAGATTTTTGAATTATTTTTAATGTTATGTGTCAGTAAGTTTAAATTGATTTAGTAGTGGATTTAAGTGCTTTGACATGAGCTAAGCAGTTATAAAACTGACTGAATGTCTTACTTCTATTGAGGAATGGGTAGAAAAATATGTGCTTTCGGGCACTTTAAGCTATTTTGTTCGTTGTACGTTTTAAATAACGTTCTTGACTTGTTCTGTGTTGTTGTTTGTAAGTTTTAGTATATCTCGAATCAACCGTAATTTTTGTTAAAATGTGTTTTGTTTTAATAACTCTCAGTTTCAAAACATATCTAAAACCCGATTATCACAATACAATTTAGGTCAAGAAGTTGCTTTTCTTCTACAGCTATGGATTGAAGCTTCTACAACATTTTACATGATTTTCTTAAATATTTAACAAATCTGAGGAACTGATAAACCTCTCAAGGGTAGTAGCATATTTTATAAAACAACAGTTATTAATAGTGTACTAAGTTTCAATCTATTTTAATTCTTAAGTGGGAGAACGTAAAAGGAAAAATGTCCTCACACTATTTACATTGAAATTTTTTCTTTCGACTAAATTTAAAAAAAATTATGGAATGAAAACAAAATAAAACTTGAACGGCTGTCGTCTTTCTTTGTAAAATTTTTACTTTGCGTGCTATACTTAATTTAAATTTCGATTTACGGAACATACCAAAGTGAAGAACTGGAAATGTCAAGGGATCTATTCATATGCTGAGACATTGGCTTGTTCACATATGATTACGCCAAGCATTAGTGCATTTATCTATAACAACACCTTCATATGCATGCATAATTGAATCCCGTAAAGGTGTAGAAGCGTTGAGAATTCCATTACATTTCCGGATTTAAGTAAACATGCAGTATATTTCAAACCATATAAAATGTAAACATGATATCAACACCACTGCAAGTGGTTTATTATTCGTGATTTATGGGTGAATGGTACTGTTATGAATTCTTCTTTCATTATAAGTTATTTAACTGCTATTTGTGTTGGAGTCTCATTGTCTCTTCATATTTGCTTTAGTCCTTATTGAGCTTACTTTGCGACAAGATGTGGAAAATCGCACAGAAAAAGGCACTTCTGGTATTTTGTGCACGGTTTTCATAGAACTTAAGTGTTTAGCAGAGAAGAGTAACAAATTTTTTCAAAATTAATTTTAAATTAATTAAATATTTTATTAATTTTATTATTATTAAAAATTTTTCAAATTTAATTAATTTTAATTTAAATTAAAATATTTTAGGCACCAGCTGCTGTGACCTTTGGTTTATTTTATTTTACATAAGAATATTTTATTCTTGTATATTGGGCCATATATCTTATAATTTTATTTCCGCTTATTTTATTATTTCAACAAAATTTTATTTCTTGTATATATTTAACATAGAGTAATAAATTAATTTTAATATACAATAAAATTATATGCATAATTTTAAATAATTTATTGGCTGTAAATAAATACAAAGTTTTTAGCTGTAGCTCATTTAGCAAGAAAAAAAAAATAAATATCTAAAACATATTAGAAAATATTTCATGTGTAAATACACTTACTGGATAATTCAATATAGGTACAAATAAAATTATATATATGATAGATATATAAATATGTGTATACATCAAAATTTCTAAATTGAAGCCGGATTTAATTGTGTCTCATTAAAAGTTAATATTCATCCTAGTAAAAAAACTAAAATTAGATGTACATATTATCAACTAAGTAGTTTCCTTAAAAGTTTGGTGAGGTCAAAAAAAAAAATAATTATATAGAGCTTGGTAGTTCATAAAAATTACAGAATATGGCTTCTGTAACATCTGCAAGCGAATTAAATTCAATTTTAGACGACAATGATAATAATGATAAAGAACACAGTGATAATAATGATGATGTAAGTGTTATAAAAGTTAAGTGAATATAAATATCATTAAGGATTTTTAAATGCTATAAATTTTTAATGCAAAAAATAAACGAAGAAATATAATAATAATTTAAATAAAAAACGCGCTGCATGTTACTATATACTAATGACTTTTAACTAGCACAGGTACACTACAACACTCCTTTCCATTATAATAATAAGAGTTCTATTCCTCCGATAATTATTATATAGAATATATTGTAAATTGAGTTCTATTAAAAAATTTTCTATGTTGAATTAATATATTTAATTATTTCTAAACTAAAACTAAATTTTATATTATTAAATGTATTCCCTTGAAGTAGTTCCCAAACAGAAATGTTTTTCCTTCTGAATATTTAATAATTTAAAATACATAATTGCACTATATAAAAAATTACACAAAATCTATCATTATATTGCATGGTACATATATAAAGTTTTAAAAACACTTAAAGCTTAAACAAATCTCTATAAATGAGACCTTTCTCAGCCAACTTTTTAAAAAATTTTAATTATAAGTTTATTTTTAACTTTTTGTATATATTAAATTTTTCAAAAGTAGTTTTTAAGTACACAATGTTATAGGGTGTACAAAAATTCTTACAATTTTTTGTCCAATTAGCTGGCAGTTTCGCTGTTGTTTACTGTAAACTGATTCAATGCGTCAGTAAAGTGATTGAAAAATGGCAAAAATTACTATATAAAATAAATTGTCAAAATCTGTTGTCAAAACTTAACGCCCAGAAGATCTTAATATTCCCGAAATAGAAACAACAAAGTCTTTTTGAATAATTTTTGTATATCTGCACTGAATTAGTATTTTTTGAATTTATAGTAATATAACTATTGACGAAAAGAATTAATGTGCTATTTTTTGAAAAAATATGAATAATTTTGGACGAAGTTTATCATACGTTTTTGCTTTGCAGAATTTTTTTTTTTTATTTATATATATATAATATATATATATAATATAATATATATATATAAACATATATATAAACACACTTTTCATCCTAAAGATACCAACCGGATCTAAGGGTAAAGACACAGATGGTACAGATGGCGGCCAAGCAGCAGGCGGTGAATCTGGTGATATGGATATTTGGATGAAGTCGCGTCAAATGATAAGACCAGAAAATCAATTAGACTTAACAGATGCAGAATTATCTGAAGAGATAACCAAAGTTCTAACAACAACAAATCTTAATATACCCACTAATGTGGTAGTATATGATTTTAAAGAGAGAACTTTTTTACCAGTAAGTAATTAATATAATCCATATATTTAGAACCAAAAAAAATATATTTTTAGATGCCAACTCCCAGTAATATTGTAACACTAATAAATTTTGATGGTACTGCTTTGCATACTGAATCAGAAGAAGCACGTTTACAAATAGAAGAATCTGGTGAAATGGGTAATATATAATCGCAATATAAATTTATTTATAAAAAAAAAAAATTTGATTAAATGCAAAAAAAAAATTGTGTCATTACATATTAGGATGCCCGCTACCAGAACCTAAGCATGGAGATAATGACGAATCAAGTGATGATAAACTCGATAAACGACGAAAAACCCTAAATGGTGACGGAGAGGCAGAAGATGGTGAAGCAGCAGATAAAGAGGACGGAGAGGATGAAGAAGGTGATGGTGAAAAAGAAGCAGAAGATGGTGGTGAAGGCGAAGCAGAAGATGGTGCCGAAGGGGAAGAAGGTCAGGAACAAGCACCAGAAGAAACGGAACCAGGTAATATTGTATTATTATATTCTGTTTATTATTTTTATCGAGCATAGGGAAGTAGTATTATAGTTGTAGAAATACAAAATAAATATTTTAATTAATTTTTATTTTGAAATATTAGTAATATGTTTTTAATATACATGGCTGTTTATTTATATTTATACTAAAGTTTTTGAAAAAGAAAAAAATTGGGCAGAAAAAATTTTTGTTAGACCTCAAGATTGTTCTGGTCTAAACTCAACAAGAAACGTACCATTTAATTTTTTCAACTAAAACGGAACCTGCACTACAATACGGGGTAGGTACTGACAGGTCACTACATTATAGGAAGATATGCTATGAGATGTGGCTACTCTGATAATGATATTTCTTGTGGTTTTGGCTTTGAAAAGGTCAAGAAGTCCGTGTCACCTCCCTTGTCACCTCCCTTCTTTGGCCAATATAAGATTAAAAATTTTTTGAGCACATTTTCTTGCCGACAGAGTTGTCAACCTGCAAAGTTAGGAACTTGGCCAAGTTTATTATGTTGTTAGGTTGGTTTACATTTATTCGAATGGGAACGTTGTGTCTTTCAGCGTTGTTTGTACGCAGTGGGCTGTAATTTTGAGGGTACTTCTGGTCTACGTTTAAATAACGCTAATCCGTGGTATGACAACGAGCTATTATTGGAGCTCAAATAGGCTATGGTGTACAAGGCCACCTCTTCAACCTATCTTAACCAAAATTTTTGAATTTCTTTATTTTAATTTAGATAAACTGTATATCGAAATGCACTTGGAGTTTGAAAAGTAGTTACGATAAAATAAATTTTAGTAAGTAAGAGTAAATAAAATATTTTTACTCTATGTTTACAGAGCTAAGATTATTTTTTATTTTTACTATATATACATGCTTCATACTTTTATATACTTCTGCTATATACTATATACTTTTTTTGTTTAGCAGAAGTACAAGCTGCACAATTACAAGAAAGCAAAAAAAAATTAATAAATCAATTTAATTACTGCGAGAGAGGAGCTTTGACGCATAATAATTCAACGAGAGTAATTTTATTAATTTCTATTATAGATGAATTAGTTAATAAATTCTATTTGATCAAACTATAGACGATCGAAACTGAAACAATTCCACCACCAAGATCACAATTTGGGGCAACTGTACAGCAGTGGGTTATTTATGATTCTTACCTAGAAGACTATGCACAAAACAAAGAATTAAGAGAAGAAAAAAAGTCAACAGCACCGAAGGATCCTAGTAAAAGCCAGAAACACCAGTATAGTGAAGCTGAGGAACTGAATCAGAAATATCTAAAAAGTTGGCAAATTTTGGAACGAATGATTAATCAAAACTTATATGCAGATGTTGCGGCAGATTATCGCTTCTACGAGGATCCAGCTGATGAATTTCGCGAGGAGGGCACATTATTGCCACTTTGGAAGTTTGTTTATGAACGTACAAAAAAACTGAGTGTAACCGAAGTTATGTTTAGTCCGAAATACTATGATTTATTTGCCGTTTGTTATGGATCATGTAAGCATAATTTTTATAAATATTTATTAAAAAGTTGCTGTACATTAATAACATTTCTGCTCAGATGATTTTATGAAACAACCGAATGAAGGTGCACTTTGCTTGTTTACAGTTAAGAATCCATCCTATCCTGATTATATAAGTAAATCACATTTTTTATTTATCTGAAATCTTTAATAACACTTAATAACCACAGTTATGACCGAGGGTGGGGTAATGTGCTGCGATATACATCCGCAATATCCATTCTTATTAGTTGTTGGTAAGTATTAGAAGAGTTATTTAATCCATACGCTACCTACTATAACGTATTATAGGATTATATGATGGAAACGTCGGTGTATATAATATAAAAAATACTAATTATAAAGAACCATTGTATAAGTCTAAAGGAGTCAATAATAAACATAATGGCGTTGTATGGCAGGTGACTTATTACAAATAAAAACATAGTTCCCATTACATTTTTCTATATAAATTTTCTTAGGTCAAGTGGGGTCCAGATATGACCGATGGTGAGATAAATTTTTACTCACTATCCTCAGATGGCCGCGTTTTCAATTGGATACTTATGCATAATAAATTAGCTTTAACTACAATTATAACACTAAATTTGGAAAATGGAAATATGGAAGGACCTGATGGCACTGCTGTACGTTTATTAAGTTGTGGTGCATGTTTGTTATTTCATCCAAATGACCCTGAAATATTTTTGGTTGGCTCAGAAGAGGGTCAAATCTACAAATGTAGTATTGCTTATAATTCGAAATATTTGATGAGCTATACCGCACATAATTTACCAGTTTATCGAATCGATTTTAATCGTTTTAATTGCAATATATTTGTATCGTGCAGTGCAGATTGGCGTATAAAAATTTGGGAAGACAAACATCCAGATCCTTTATTTGTTTTCGATTTGGGTGGTGCCATTGGTGATGTTAAGTGGGCTCCTTATTCAAGTACAGTTTTTGCAGCAGTTACAGCTGATGGAAAGGTTTTCGTTTTCGACTTGAATGTGAATAAATATAAGGCGATTTGTGAACAACTAGTAGTTCCGAGACGAAAGAATAAGCTAACACGTTTAGCTTTCAATGAAAAATTACCGTTTATTATTGTTGGAGATGATAAGTAAGTAAATTGGATTTCTAAATATTGCATAGGAAATTTTAAAATAACTTACATAGAAAGCCACAAAAGTGAATTGAAAAAAGTGTGTATAGTACAAAAACTTTTCACAAGAAAATAGTGTATACAATAATGTAAGCAAATACGGATCCGTCAGTGCAGGAAAAGTTTGTACGGAACGTCCTATGCGATACCCTTTAGAGACATGTTTAATAGAATTGTGGATTATCAACCACACTGACGAGTGCAATTGCTCTATTACCTTAGTACTATTATTTGTTCGTCATGATTCTATTTGTATTTAGCAAGCATATTTGAACAAAGACAGAAATTAATTGTAATATATGTACAATGTACTTAGATATTAATATTTAAAATTTTCAAAACTAATTTTTAATATTATCTAATTTAAATTTGGTTGTAAAAATTGAAAAACCTATTACTATGGTATTATTGTTAATTTAGTTACTGTTACTTTTTTTTAATTTTCACTATCATTTTTATTTCAGGGGTACTGTGACATCATTGAAACTCTCACCAAACTTACGTTTAATGGTTAAACCTCCAAAAAAGCAGATGAACTTAAGTCAAAATATTTTACAGATTCAAAAACTGGAAAAAATTTTATCATTGGTCCGTGAACTTCCTGAGGGTGAAATAATAAAAGACACAACTACTACAGTTCAAAGTTGAATTTATTTTTATATGCATGAATTTTTAACTTGTTTTAAAAATGATTTAAGAAATTTTAACAGTAGAAAAGTAGACAACTACAACAACAAAGATTATTTTTATATTATTTTAACTAATTGAATTTTTGGTTGACCATACAGCTGTTCGAAGTATTGCCAAATACCCATCATCAGTGGTCGTGGAATTATTTATTGTATCTAATTATTCTAAACGATTTTTTGAGACTGTAAGTACCAGGGATTGAACTAATGCCCTGCCAGATTTGAAGTTCAGAGTCAGCATACATTAGTCAACTGACCGAAAGCCGTACTTGACTTATATGTTCACACTGGAATTTTGTTGATTTGCTGTGAAAGTTTATTAACAAATTCGCTTGCTGTGTTATATATTAGAACGAAATCATAAACCAGCTGTAGAATAATTGAATTAGTTAATTATATTTTTATTTTTAATCGTTAAATTTAAATACTATTTATTTAAAGGGTTTATTTATTGTATGAATAAATACTTTTCTGTCTACTTTCTGTTAAAGTAAAAATAGTCAGTACTGTTATATCGACGTTAATTAAGAAATTTAATTAAGAAATATTTTTAAAAAAAAGACGGCTTTTATGGTATTCATATTATATTTCAGTTATCTACTAGTAAATCTTTTTATTCATTATGACTCTTATTTTTCTTCAATTTTAAAATTATAGATTTAGTATAATTTCAATGAATTAATAACTCTTTATTTGACTCACTTGAAATTAATATTTTTGACTTTTTTGTAAGACAATAAAACGAAAGTATAAATGTATTTGAAAACTGATAAAGAAATCTTAAAACATAAAATTAAATTTATTATTGAAATAAATATTTTATTATAATGATATAAAACTTTTTAATTGATTTTTGCTATTGGGAATTTGTATGCTTTAGATTCGAAAGCATTAAAATTAATCACATTTCTGAAGTTTACAATAATAAAGTCAAATAAATGAAATCATCTAATTATAAGTTTGCGGTTTCGTTTGGTAATATTTTTTAATTCATTACTATAAACACCAAAAAATAACATTGGTATTATTAGTATTTTATTGATATTTTTTATTTTTTATATTATTTTTTATTATATAAATTTATTCCATAATTCGTATTCCAACTGAACAACAAATCCCTTACGATATTTGGGATACCTTTACGATGTATTCTTTCTGTTTTTCTTTAACAATGTATAAAATTATTTTATACATTATAGATCGGAATCGACTTGTTGAGCGTCCTGTACATCCAACGTTTGCTTTTGAGTTACTTTACGCGGATTTTGTATGTATGGTCGCCTAACTGTGACTATATATATTTATTTTTGCATTAATTGCATAGAGCACCCCTGCAGATGATACAACGACCTGATAGCCATTATTATTCCTTAATTTTTTATTCCGACTAGTAAATTGCAGGTCATTTCCATTTTGAATTCATTCGTCAAGAAGTCGAATATTTTGTATTTTGCATATATCAGAATTCCTTCCTGATGCTAATAGAACATTAGTCTAATACTGATATTTATATTTTCAAATTTATATTATAATTTGAAATTCATCGTATAAACTTTTAAGTACCGTTTGCAATTAATATTAATGCAACAATATTTTTTGACAGTTGAGTATAGGCAGATGAGTATAGAACTATAGTGAAGTTCTGGAGTAAAAGAGATTATAAGAGATCACGAAAAGCAGAAACTGCAGAAAATCACTATAAGCCTTACAGATTTGAAACAGTCTAATATACTATTAGGTAACTACAATAACATAAGACTTGAACTCTTTTTTGGTCTATCTAAGAACTGATAAATGTTATTCCCAGTATTGACCAACTATAGTTGGCTTAATGAAGATCTGAGTAGCATATGATTGTATCAAATATCATGTGCAGTTAATGCAATAAGAAACCTGCATTAATTTATATAAGACAAAAAACTCGGAATACAAAACCGGAAAAAGAGTTACCAAATTATTTCACACAATCAGCCTGGATATGAGAATACAGAATTATCCTATACAATACAATAAACATATTGGTGTGGCTGATTTATACTTATATTGATATTACGCTGCTAATATTAGCTATATTATGCTCCTTAGATTTAAATGCATCAATATAGATTCCAAAAAAACTGATAAATTTTTATGGAAGTAACAGATTTAGAGGCATTATTGTTAATAAGTTTACCATTCGAATTTTTAATATATGTGTAGATTTTATTTATTTAATCTTAATAATAATTATAGTTAAAGTTTACGTCTATAAATATTTTTAGATATAAAATAGTTTACAACAGAAACATTTAAATATTCCTCTAAATAATTTACTAAAAATCGGTTTTATACACAAGAATTAATATTTATTAGCATTGTTTCTTATTATTAAATAATAATACATAATAATTTACATAAATAAGTTATAAATAATTAATTTTTAATTTCCAAATTATTAGATGTAACAAATCTGGTAAAGAACATCGATTAAAAATAGATTTACGAGTATGTAAGACTTCAAGCTATAATAGTTCCAGTTTATGGGTGGGAGTCAACTTAACGTTACGAAGAATAATCACAATTTATGAAGGTATTAGTCAGATAGTATATGACCACAACGAGGTTTTGAGTATTTAAGTGAAATATTTAAAATTACTTGCTCACCTATTTATCTATAAATTTTCACTCTCACATTGTTTTTATGAAAAAATAATTTTACAAATTCTTTAAAAAATTATGCATAAATTAAATTAAATATGAAAGTTAGTTTCTAATATTCTTATATTCTAGAAATTCACGCACATTGTTTGGACACATAATATTTTTACCCAAAAATAAAACATTTGACATTGGATGTAAGTAATCCACAGCAAATTCCTTAGCCTTCCAACCAAAAAATCCACTTGGATGCATGACATTTCCTTTGATTTCAAATGGTAAAAGGTTTACACCTATTTGATTGATCTTAGAAAATTGTACACGAAAATAGTGTCCATCTGTAGCTTTAATCCAATAGAAACCCTCATTATCCACATAGGGTTTATTTTGTGATTTCTTTAGCGCATTTGAACGCTCTAAGTCATTTATATTAAAACTTATATCGATCTCATATGCATCAGCTGACAGTTGATTGGTATCGATGGCCGATTTGAGTGCATGATTGTCAAGCCAGTAACGTATGCCGACATTTTCGAATTCCTCGAAAACATGATTGAAAGTGGTTTTCAATTTATCTAAACAACAGGGTGGAGTATGTCTTCCAATATAAATATAATATGGTTTATTGTTGTATACAGGACCAATGCAGGAGCGTGTTACGCGCTCACAACCAATTAAATCTGTTTCTATTACTTGCGGTAACGAAAAGTTAGAGGACGAAAATTGTGTGTCCAACACTAGATTATGTTGTGGAATATTTGTACCAGTGTCCTTGGTTTCAGTCTTTGGAACTACTTTATGCGAACTTCGAACAATTCTTTTAATTTGCAGTTTTTTATACATTTCTTTGAACTGGCGTCGTCTTGCTTCCATACGTCTCTGTTTGGTGTGATATGACGTGAAGAGTCTACGTCCCTCCTGAAAGGCTTGTGGAAAAATGGTTCTCTGGAAATGTATCTGTTAGTTATATAATAATATATTAATTAATATAAAATTTTGAACATACAGGAATTTCTGCAATTTTCATTTGTATATAAAGCATTTCCGGAAAAGGTGTCGCAAATGGGTCCGGTAGTTCTTTTAATATTCCAGTATCTATTAAAATTGCATGTTTCTGTAAGTACTAGAAAAAAAAGAAAAGGGTATATTATAATTTGAATTGTTGAGAGTTTCAAGTAAAATTTTGAATAATAATCTGTTAAAAAGAAAAAGTGACAAAAAACCTGGAACTTGGACATTGAAAGATTGTGTAGCCTTTGCTACTAGTGAAAAAACACGATTAGTTATCGCTTTTAATTTGACAGGCACGAGTTTTAAGCCTGGCACTTGCAGTCCAAACAAATTATATACAGACTATAAATTAATTAAAAAGAAATTCGAATATTTAATCAGACCACTGGTGATAAGTATGTGGCAATACTCGAAACAACGTTGAATGGTCAGCCAAATTTCAATAAATTAACTAAACTTTTATTCTTGTCTTTTCTTTGCTATTCGAAACCGTTTTACTTTTAAATAAGTAATGATATGCCTTAAAAAATGTTTGAGTCCAGTATAATTCTCTGTACAACTATTATTCGATTGGTAAATATTTTTGATCAATTCTGTCTTGAATCCTGTCTGGGTACTTCATACTGCTAATTACAAGCATATAGCAATCTTTGAAGAACGGCATTGTCTACGTCCCGGAATCACTTGTTTACATAAGTTACCAGGTGCCGCTCACCACTCCGAACAGTTACAACACCAGTATGTCTCAATACAACTTTCTTTAAATGGTTGTCCTTTTTCAGATCTTGTTCAGATACAATTTCTTAATGAAAATAGAGGAACAATTTATTGTTCCGATCTTTTATGGAAACTTATACAGACAATTATAAAATTTATAGCTCAAAGACTTGTCATCTATAGTACAGTCTCACGTTTTATATAAGTACAATCTTTGAGATAGTTTCTGTACGTCATGTTTATGAGTCATGACAATGCATTACAGTAAATCTTCAAACTCCAAGCGAGGGGATGTCTAAAAAACTGTTGATTAGATGTGGTTGTAAATTGCTTTACGAAAATAAAAGTCAAGAAGTTTTTATTTATTGGAAAACCGATCAATATAGATAGAAATTATGGCGAAAGCTTTAATTTACCGATGACTGTAAGTAGATGAGTGAATAGTCTATGCTATTTAATAAAGAAATGTATACAAAATGTCATAAAAGTTTAAGAAATTTACTTACTAAGTCGCACTTTCCACTATTGTTAACAGCCATATAATGTATCGTCCAATTTGGCAGATCCAATTTAATTTCTGTGCAACTGCTAAACGATTTTATATTACCAGCAAATGGCACAATAACGACATGACGTACCGTCTCATATATAGGCACCAATGCACTCGACAATTTCAGCTTAGTATTGGCCACTGCTGGGGCCTTCAAAGCATGGCTATTGATTTCACGCAATATTTTCTGCAGAAGATTTTTACTGGTTATTCGGACACTATCTGGCATAAATAGTGCATATTTAGTGTGAATAGCAGCTAAAGTGTTGAGTTCATCTGGCGTTTTCTGAATATCAAATCCAAGATTAAGAAAACGTACACTATTCTCTTCACTGTAAGAGCTGCTGTTACGCTCATATGAAATAGGTGGATAAGGTACACCTTCTTGTAGTACCAATATCTGCATATTCGGTATAACACTTAAAATGCTATCGATGGTGGCTTTTAAGTCATTTTCAAATGTATAAAAAGTACGAAAGACAATTGTTATAGATTTTCGTATATGTTTGTTGGCATTTTTAGATTTATCCTTTGAAGATTTGGCGAGCTGCATTTGAATTTGTTGTGTATCAGCAATGTTTAGGTCATTGCTGGTTGCTGTCAAGGAAGATGTGATGCTCTTCCAGAATGTTGATTTCCAGGAGTAATAAAACAATATTATGTTGGCTATGACAACAATTGCTATGACTACTTTAGCATGTCTTAATCGCATTATTTTCATTTTGTTTTTTTTATATTCGTCTATTGAACGCCGTTAGTGATTAAATATTTATATGCATATAAGCATTTATAAAAGTATTTTATTTTATATATTATATTTTAAAGCAATTTAATTAAAGTTTAATAAGCAGATTTATTTTCATTATTATTGTATATTTCACACTTTTTATTCAGATTTGATTGATTTATTCGAATATGTTCTGAATATTCGATTGGTATTTATTTCTTTTTGATAATTTTTTTTAATTTGGCTCTAAAATTGCTACTTGTTTGCTGCTGACATACTCTACGGCAATTCAAGTTTTAGGATGATTCACAAAAACGAAACACCCTTTAGATTTTATTTGTTGAATATATTTCTATAAATTTCCTTTAGTTCCATTTACAAACAAATATTTTTCACAATTTTATCAATGTATTCAATACCGCAAAATTTATTATTTTCTTGAGTAAAAAAAGATTACAAAGAAAATTTCTCCGCACTTTTCACATTTTGACACTTAAATGACAGTTCTTTTCAGGATAACCAATATACATACATTTGTTTATGTTATGTTTTTAGCGCATATCCTTCTGAAAGCTCTCCAAAAAGCTTCCAAGAAATATTATCAAGTCATATATTTTATCTCAACAAAAATCCTAATGGTAAAGTTTATCCTTTAAAAGCTCTATCTTTTAAAAGCATTATGGTGAAGTTTGTCCTTTAAAAGCTTAAACAGTTTTTATACTATTTTATATATAATAACCTGTGATTAAGAGCTCAGATGTTTTTCATTTTTCAAGTATTATAACTTAGGTTTGCGATTATCATTTTCTGAAATGATACAACAAATGAACAAATGAAGTATTTATCTCAATAACAGATGAGGTCTTTGGCATTTCTATCTCTTAGACATTTAAAATTTCAATCAATTGTTAATATTGTTTTATCTGTTTTTTTAAAAATTTCATGAAATTATATTAAACAAATTACATTTCACAAATTTAAACAACTGTTTCGAAAATATTCTATAATACTTTGAAAGATAGATAAATGCCACTAATTTATAATCTTAGATATATTAAGGTCATACTACAACTTTAGAGTACAAAAAAGCTTTAGAGCACACTAAGTAGCGTAGAGTGGAAATAGACTTATTCTATCGAGAAAATCACTGCTTACAAATGGATATGTTATAGACATGATATACATTATTAAGAGGGATATAAAAAGATGGAGTGACCGAAAAGTAGTGCTAATTTATCACGTTTAAAGAAGTTTATATCCAAAACTGAAGAAAAATTCAAATTTCAAAACGTTTCTTTCTGAGTCGGGCACATTTTTTCGAGCATTCATTGAGTAGAATTTTTGGGAACTCATCAATAGAGGTTGCTTAGATTAGTGCCTTAAGGTTATATGTCAACTATATTAAAATATATTTATAGTTTTTTAATTTATTGTACTTATTTGTAGCTACATCTTTAAAAAAAACCTTATTTCAATTTAAAAGATTCTTAAATGTTCAAAATATTTACCAGTTAACTGATATTGGATTTTTTTTTTTATGAAAACACACATTTTAATTTCACAAAGAAGCATTAAATTTTATTGAATTCATAAACTTCTACAGTATTTTTCCACTCTTATGCTTTTATATATTTAAATCAAACTAGCCTAGATTTGAGGTTTACATTCTATAATTTCTATTCAAGATCATTAAATACAAAACATATCTTTCACAGCACAATTACAAAACCAACTATCTATTCATATCTACTTATATACATATACCTTTCATCTAATATACACAAAAACATTATTATCTAAATAAGCTACATTCAAAATAAGATATTTTGTGAAATTTAACTAGAAAATTTTTTTATCATATAACATATATAATTATAGAATATACACATACAATAATTGATCATCACAAACTACGGTAATTGAAGTAAGTTTAAGATAATTCGGTTTTATAAGGTACATCAATAGATTCTGTAGATTATGTATGGGATATTTGTTATGTACTACACATTAAGAACTAAAAAGTTTAATCTCTTAATTGTATTCTTATTTGCAAATAGCAGGAAATAATATTGGAAATGGTACTTCATCATTGTTATTTTTGGGTGGTGTTGGTGGTCTTGGATCCGGTTCTGTGCAACCATTAAGCCAATATGTGATAAGTTTACCTTTTCCTTTCAATTCAACTTCCCCTCGTAATTCCATTTCAAAAGTACCAAACTTATCCAAACAAAATTTTGCTGCCGATGAGACATGTATTTTAAGTGCTAAGAAATTCAAATAATATTGTTATATAGAATTCAATATATATTTAAACATAATATATGGTATGTTTCAGACTTACGCATTCCAGTAGATTCCATACGTGAAGCCGTATTTACTGTATCTCCAAATAAACAATAATGTGGCATTTTCTGTCCAACAACGCCTGCACACACCGGTCCGGAATGAATGCCAATCCGTATTTTGAGCTTGTAATCTGGTTTGTGTTTGATTGTGAATGACTTAACAGCATCCAGAATTGCTAAAGCCATTAGACAAATTTCGCGTGCATGATTATCACTATTCCGTTCAGGTAACCCAGACACAACCATATATGCATCGCCAATTGTTTCAACCTATAACAATATTATTATAATTAATAACTTATAGATTAATTTTAACATGATATAATGAAAGCACGTTTAACCTAGGTATGTATAACCTACTCGTATTAATATATATATTAATAGTTTTATCAAACAGAATTTTCATCTCCTTCCGAACAAAACTTACTTTGTACACATCATAAAATCCAATTATGCGATCAAATGTGCTATAGAGATCATTTAAGAAGTCGACCACTTCCATTGGGCCGCTTTGAGCGCAAAGTGCTGTGAAGCCTACAATATCACTAAAATATATTGTAACACATTCAAATTGTTCAGGTTGAACCATTTCGCCAGCTAACAGTTGTGTCGCCACTGGTCTTGGTAAAACTTGAAACAGTAACTCTTCCGTACGTCGCTTCTCCATGCTAAGTTGTTCAGTTTTCTCTTCAACTAAACTTTCCAAATTATTTGCATATTGCTCCATACGACGTAGTAAATCATCCATAAGATTCTCACAAAAACCTCTGTTAAAATAATTATTGCATATTAAAGCAATATAAAATATTTCTTCAAATATCTTACTTCATTATAAGACGTACACTAGATCTAATAGTAGAAAAAGCAGGCCGATCTTCTGGACTATCAGCCCAACACTTTTCCATTAAATCCAATACATCGGAGGGGCAATCACGTTGTGTGACAAATGGGCGCAATGGTGGATTTTCGTGCGATTCAACCCGATGTAATATAGTTTGTATGTCCATAAATTGACGAGCTGCTTCATACGGTCCACCACGCACTACTATTTCCTCTAAAATAATACCAAATGAATATACATCACCTTTTTGTGTAGCCGGATTGCCTGGTACTACTGTCAGTGGTAAAAGTTCAGGTGCAATCCAAAGAAATTCTATATAAATATAAAATTTATTACGTCGCATAAAAAAAAATATATAAAAAGATTTTAAGGCACGCACTATTAAAATAATTCTGATCCTTAACAAATTCTGAGGGTGTTGTTAGTGTACGTAAGCCAAAATCAGATATTTTTAATACAAAACGTCCATCAATTAAACAATTACAGGAACGTAATTTTCCATGTACTTGCACGTCGCTATTGTGCAAATAAGCCATTCCCTTTACAATATCGTGTATTAGAGACATACGGAAATTCCAATCAAGTTGTATAGCTTCATTTTCAAGCACATCTTTTAAACTGCCCTTTGGGCAATATTCTGTGAGTATTAATACTGTTGGTCGCGGCAAATCAATACATGAGCCAACAAAACGTACTGTATTCTCGTGACTAACATCTCGAGCTTGTTTGATTTCCCAGAGTAACGTTGGGGTTATATCAACTTTTTTCTTATGGATTTTCTTGATTGCCACTCGTTCACCTTTAAAAATTCCAATCGTAGTAAAAACCTGAGATAATGGTAATGAGGAGTAACTTGCTATGGAGGCACGTCCAGAGTGTATACCATATTGTTGTAGCGAAAAATTCTGATATTAAAAATAAATAAAATATAATAAATAATAATAAGAAAAATTAAATATAAAGTGAATTCATTAAAATAATTTGTTTTTTATATGAGTATATACAGGTTAATAAACTCAAACGTTTTTATAGTTGTTAAATGGCAATATGGTGAGTATTTAGCCAATAACTATTTCAGGAATCAAAATACTAAAGATTAATTTACTGAAATTGCAAAGTATATAGGTACATATAGGTAATATATAGGTAATATATATATAGGTAATATATATATATAGATAATATATATAGGTATATATATATATAATATATATAGGTAATATATAGGTATATAGGTAAGATTACATGATATATAAACAAATAATATGATACTAGTAATGTATATATTCATTCCCTCACTATGTATGTTATATCACTATCTCTCTCTCCGCTGTTTCTATCATTCACCTTTTATTTATACTTTATAAATTAAAACAGCATTCTGATTTAGAGGTATAAAAGGTAAATATGTTTCTGGAAGCAAAAATTGTACTGCAATTAATAGTTAATGTACCTCATTATTTAACTGAGATAGATCTTCTTTCTAGTTTTCTAACCTATCCTAGTGTTTTAATAGTGATAAGCTCTAAATTAAAAATACATCTATATAAAATTCATCTATTTAACCTTTAATTTAATATTTTTCAAAAAACTATATATTAGATATATATTCTTTTTTTATTAAAATTATATTAAACGCTTACCTCCGCATTCAATTTCTGTAAACCAATTTTACTACCGTACATACGGCCAACTTCTAAAAGTATATCATCGGGACGGACTCGCCAAGACATATTATTGAGCTCATTATTCAGTTTCATTTGCCTAATTAAAGTAATTTATTATTTTATTAGTAACAACATAAATATACGTATATAACAATATGTTATATATATATTCATTTGTAATAGACATAACCCTATGTTATGTACCTATCTATATAATACTTACTTGCAGAGAAGATAAGCAACAAGACAAGTAAAGCTTACAAAGATACCAAAAGCTATTGTGGCATACAATATAATCACTTCTGTAAAAAAAAAACAAATAAAAAATTGTAAGTATTTTTGACCTTAAATTAACAAAACCATTGCCATGACAATCAGGTGCATCACCCAAGAAACCACAACGCGGTATGTCTGGCGGTGGGCCTTCTCGACCGCCTGGCCAATGTATCTTTTTACCATTAACAGCTGAATAGTTGCTAAAATATATTTACACATATGATTACAAACATTAAATTGAATATAAAATATATAGGTATGTAACCCACCGATGAAGACCATAGTAATGCGCTACAACTGCAAATTTACCGTTAATAGGATCTAAATCGAGAATTGAGTAATCAGCGTCACGATCACCACTTTCATCGATGCGCACATGTCCAGTTATTCCATGAAAGTCGCGATTCCACATGCGTCGTGTAATAGCTGTACCATCGCGTATATCCTCGCCTTCAGTTAGCGTTTCATTTAATGCCATTCCTAATAAAATAACACCATCATAGAATGCGCCAATAAAAAAATTCACCTATAATAAAATTTTATGTAATTTTTCTCTGATAGATTTATTTATTATGATTTTCACCTCTTCGCCCTCACTGAATGTGTAATTATAATTCTTAGTTGCCATGTCGCGTACATTTTCAGCAAAACCCTGAAATTTTGGACTTGTTGGTTGTAGGAGCGAAACGCGTAGTAATGATTCATATGCTTTACGTGCACGACTATCATGTGAATCTCCCATTTCCCAGTCATGATCTCCCCAATATGAACTCTATAAATATTAAAAAATATATAATTGTAGTTGTTATATAAACAATAGTTGTTATATATTGCACAAATAAATGTATATTTAATTTTCAAAAGCCTACACTTTAAGGATCTGGAGATGAGTTATTGCAGAATTTTGATTAAAGTTTGTGATGGTTTTGGTTATACGTGGCTGCATTTTGATGGCAATCATCTGAAAACGTTATTTAACAAAGGCTTAATGAAGAAGAAGAAGGAAGAAGAATAATCGCACTGCAAATTATTTCAATAGTTGCTGTTTAGGGTTCTGAATAGCAGGCTATACAAATACTGAGTCAGGACTTAATGTCATGTGGTTTTTAAAGTATTCATATCCAACAGTGACGTCGCTAGGCGTCAGCGATGTCAGCGACCGCCGACGTCCTCGCGCCCGCAGGGGCCTCGCAAAAAGTTACCGACTGTGGATTCTAAGCACTTAATAAATATTTTGAACAATTTGGTTTAATAATGGCATTAACCATATTCGAAGTATTCTCAAATGTTTATATAGTAATCAGATTCATGTTCACAGTTACAGTCAGTATAGCTTCGACGAAAAGAAAGAAGCCAAGTTAAAATTGTTTAAGACGTACTAGAAAAGTATGATGATCCAAGAGAGACTATCTTCATTGGAAATTCTATAAACTGAAGCAAAAATAACAGCTGACGCAAATTATGATATAGTTTAAAAATAATTGAGTGAGGTTAAAAGTAGGAAAATTCATTTATTTTAATTTGTGTTTATTTTAATTTGATTAGCAATAAAACTTTCAATCATGCTTTGTCGTATTAGTGAATGTAACTTATTTACTTTTACAACTGGGTTATAAAGGGGGCCTCGCAATTCTGATGTCGCCGACGTGCAAAGTTGGTCTAGCTCCGCCACTGATATCCAAATATCATTTATGAAGGCGGCTCTGCCATAGAGGCAAAGATTAGTGGATTCACGGTAAATTACAGAGCACAAGGCGATTCAATATACTTGTGGTCCCTTTTCTGGCTTAATTCAAAGCTGCGATACTTTAAAAGAGAGAATATAGCGAAGTTTATAAATTAATTTGTTGGTTTTTTATTATTTAAATAGCAGAGGCGTGTCATCTTAAAAGGATACTGTTGGTGGGCTAGATGTTTTACACTTCCATCATTGAGTTATAAATTATTACTGGACTAAGGTCGTAATAATAATCCAAAACTTATTGAAAATTGGTGATAACAATTTATTTTCTATCATAAAGATAAGAACCTCGTATCATCATACAGTTCTGCATAATACTTACGATTTTGAATTTTAAGTTCGAATGGACTTGCATGGTTCACTCTGCAAAAGTTTCAAAAGTTTGATTTCTCTTCATTTTGAGTTCAATCATTCATTCGTTTGTCTTCTTTCCTTCATCCATATATCTACTTTTTTATCATACCAATATCATAATACCATATGCCTAATATAATAACATATTATAAAAGATATACTATGGTGTACTAGGAGGCTAAAACCCTATCATTTTCTGTTTCATAGAATAAGTTTAGTATATATTTAAAAAAATATACTGGATATGCTTATTGTTGCCTTAGTTAGCTAAGTAATAATTAACAAAAACTTTACTGAAATAAAGATAGTATAAAGATTGATTCTAAGTGAAGACAACATATCTTTGGTTGTACTCTATTCTATGCAATATAGGTACATGGCAGTATATATAAAACAACAATAGTAAAGAAAACTCGTTCATATAATTTGATTGAAAATTGGTGGTTATTCATTGGTAGCAAAGTAAAGTAACATATATTACCAAGTTGTTTTTTTTATTAAGAATAGTATTTTTTTCATTTTCATAATCATAAATATATACTAATTACTAAAAGTTAATTAAAATTAAATGTTTGAACTATTCAAGATTATTTATTCAAGCAATCATCATGCAGTCAGTATTTAAAGTTGGGTGAAATATTAATGAAGAAATATTATGCTTTCTATTGGAGCCAGGCTAGATCTGACCTGTCGAATCTCATGAAGTACATGTAGTTTATTGTCTGCTCTTCCAAAGCCTGATTTAAGATTTTAGTGCCTTACTCTCTAACACATTCAGCTTTATTTCCAACATTAGTATTGGCTAGATACTTGCATTTAAAAATACGTCTGGCAGGTTTTAATAGGCTCATTGTTCTACCCACAATTACGAGGAATGTTGTAATCAAAACGGTTTTCTTAGCTAATTAAGGAAGATTCGTTCCTCCTTCCACTTCATTAGTATTGGCTAGATACTTGCATTTAAAAATGCGTTTGGTGGGTTCCAATAGGCTCATTCTTCTAACCACAATTACGAAGAATGTGGAATCAAAACGGGTTTCTTAGCTAATTAAGGAAAATTCTTTCCTTCTTTTCTTTATTTTACTTTCTTTATTTTAGTATTTATAAAAATATACTCAACCTGAAATATTTCAACATCCAAAAATACCCAATCGCCATTTGTCATTTCCAAATCATATGCAGCCAGCATGAAATTTCGCACCAATGTACCCCGTACAGAGAGGATTATAACTGAAATAACATACAAGTACATATGTGAATACTAACAAAACTTCAAATCCTAATTCTGATGTTTTAGTCAAATTAAATTAAATTACCTCTTGCATACATGCTGGCATCTTTTAAATAGTTTTCATATGGTTCCTGCTCATTGCCATTCAATTCACGCACAAAACTCAATAAGCCTTCCTGACGAAGTCCATACTCTAAGTTTTTACCAACAGTCAATGAAAACAGGTCAGACCTATCAACCAGCAATGCCACATGCTTCCAATTAAACTGCCGAAATATACTAGCAAATACTAACTTCAAGCGACATTGGCAATAGGACATACGTGTCAGTGTCTGATATTTTGTTTTATCCTTGAACATACCCTGAAAAGAGAAAGAACCATATTAAATCATAAATTGCAAAAAAAAAAATAAACAATTGAATTTTCTGGCGCGCAATGAATTCTTTCCCGATGATGTCGAGTGACTATCGTCAACTAAATAGGGAGTGCTTCAGTCGAAAGATATTCCCAATAACTGTAGAAGCAACAGTGTGTTTACACATTAGTGTCAGTACATCAAGAGCAATGCAGTCGTTATGAAGTGTATAATACACTGCCACTTGGGAAAGAGTCGCTTAAGTAAACATAAGCATACACACACTAACATAATTGCCTGCAAGCACGTGCTACACATATGAGTAACAGAGTCTTTTTGTTATCTTAGTCTGTTCAATGATATCATCCCCCACCTTTTCACACATTTTATTGCCTTCCGCTCTGTGCCTGTTCACATCCTGTTGCTTATATCCTTTAAGTGTGCTATGACATATTTGCATAATCAGTTTATAAGTGAAAGTAGCACGCTTCGTTAGTTTTGCTCGTAATGATGTTGTATGAATTTAGCCCCTTTCTCCCTCCACACACAAGCCCTGGTGTTAATTTGTAAATGCCCATGTTTTTGTAATTTTTCACTTTAAAAATAACAAGCAATTTTTTTCAGTGTAAATATAGTTAAGCTCGCATCTGTGCATCTGCAACGTTGCAATGATTTTGCATTTGTTTACGTACGGAAATGTTCGATGTCAAAAAAAATGACATTATTTAAGGAAATATTGTATAGAAAAATCTTTTAAATTTACGCTGTTATTATTATATGAACAGTAATCAACTCGGAATTGATAGAAATTCAAATCGGGGTTAAGATGCTTTATTCCAGGACATGCAATGAATACTTCAATTTGTTTGCAATTCAAATAAAACAACAAAAAAATTCTCCGTACTCCTATCCTATAGCTGTGTTCTATACAGAAATTTAGAGAAATACAGAAATACAGAAATTTCACCTATAGAAAATTCTTTTATTTTTTAGTGCAGTTAAGAAGCACTTGAACTAATTTGCACTTTATTAGTTTATTACTAGTTTATCTTACCTCTCTTAAGATCATCTTAAGGTATTAAGTTTAACTTTAAGGTCTAGCCAAATTCGGCATAATTGACATTTGAAAATTAATTTTAATTATTTTGAGAGATAATTTGGGTAGTAAAATGTCAAAAAAATCCATTTCACTGGATAAACAATTCGTAGTTAAATTAGTCAAGAAGAAATTTTTATTACCATTGAATATTCTTTTATAAAATCTATCAATTGATTTTTGGCTAAGATGTAATATTTTTGATCAATTTTATAATAACAAAACTGAAAAATCTATAATGTTCACTTTTCACCATTGACAATTAAGAATTTCACCAAACCAGCGCTTTTTATAAATTAGGACAACTAACTATAAAGATAGTTACAAATGTTCTTAACGGTGAACCAGTTCTTCAGATTTTATTATTGAATTAGTTTGAATGGTCACTTTCGACTATTATCAACAATAACCGTTTACAATTAAGAACTCTATTAAACTAACGCTTCTTTAATTTAGGATAACTAACTATACAAATGTATTTAAAGTTGGATCAGTTCTTCAGATTGGTTAAATTCGTAAGGATATCTTGATTAGATTTACGGATCATATTGGTTAATAATTCCAGTGACTGATAGATACAATACACTATTGACCAGTGAAAGAGCAGTGTCAATAATTGTGTAATTTTAGTAACAATGGTTGTAATTTTTTTTTTAAGTATGCTATGGTTATTAACTCCAGAAAAGTATAACACACGTCGTCTATGGCATTATTGACCTAATACTTTTTACAATCATAACTGTAGCATTTACAATCATATCTATTTGTCAATATTTCTTATTCCCATAGAAACTGTTGCACAAGTTCAGTGTCAATGGTAATGGACTCTGTAAATATTACGTTTTTTACAACCAACCTCCCAGTGCAATATACACTTTCTTACCACAGTACAAGCAACAGTTATCACGTATTTCTGTCACAACTCCATTTACTCATCATATCCACAATGTGTCTCTATGTGGATTTGTTAAATTTTATATAAGTAAAATTATTTTTTCTTTCATTTTATTTTGTTATCCTTTGCGACAGCCACAACAGAATCTATTCACTTTAATCCATCTTGTGGTCTAAACGATTGACACATGTACTACACACATTTAAACAAATGAGTTTCGTATAATATATATGTATCTTAATATGTAAGGATATGTATCTTCTGTAAGTTATGTAAAGTCCAATAAACTTTGCAACATTTAGGACGGGTTTTTTAATTTAGAAGGTCTTTTTGTGTTTCAGAAAAAGAATATGTTGGAGATATTTATTAATTTAAAAAATTTGTGGCATATGAATACACAATACTTAAATTAAAATGGTATATAACATATTTATATAAATGGTATATATTTCTATAAATAAATATACAAGGATTATTGATGTCTGCATATTTTGGTAATTTATCTTTTATTATTTTCATCCAGTAGTGACGGACGCAATATAGCAAGTAAATTATATTATTCGAATAATATTGTATTTAACAACATTATTAAGTTAAAATTAAATACAAAGGATACAATCTTTTGAAACACATATGAATATATAGGAAAATGTTCGTTTTATGGTAATTCTGCGATTGTTGCTCTCTTTGGGTCAGACACTTTACGTACAAAAAGAATTAAGGTATTATTATCTCTAATGCCATCAATTACTTGGTATAAAAACAATGATAGTTGTGGAAAGAAAATTTTGTATAGCATCATATCTCTACATCCAGAGAAATGTAGAGATGTTAGAGTTTGGCATCTACTTATTCTTTTTAAGAAACTACTATTGTACCAAACTTTGTGATTCTAATGTCTTATCTTAGTGATCGATACTTTTTTGTGGAGCATCAAAAAGTATTTCATGGTCAGCCAGTTGTAACTACTTAACTACATAGCTAACATATATATACCTCAAAATTTAATACAAAAAAAAAATTATTCTTATGAACTACTTCATTTCTAGAAACTTATAAACTATATTTAAATGTCAAAATACTTTCTAATATTTTTTCATAGACTGGCTTCAAGTGTTTGTGAAAATAGAAAGAAGCATATCGTAGTTAATTGATATTGTTATATAATGTAGATAATTATAAATATTTTATAATTAAGTATAATATATAAGTATTTTTTTACTTGATCTTACCGTACTTTCATTCTTCCATTTGTGAATTTTTCCTAGTATACCGGAAGTTACAGTTAATTCACCTTCAGATGGAGGCTGCAAATATTTTATTTAAATATATTAAATTATTTCAAATTTTATGTTATAGTTTGCATTAAAAAAAGTATTTATTCTGTATAAAAATATTATTAGAATTATAAGAGAAATATGAATATTTTGAGGTAGTATTCTGTCAAAAGAATATAACATCTATGTATATATATATGTATATATTACATTAGGTTTATATATAAAAAAATAGTAATAAAATAGTAATAAAAATAGTATAAAAATAGTAATTTAAAAAAGTCTTGAATATAGCCTATTGTCCTTGTCTGACTAACATAGCCTTGTCACAATGTATAAAAACTCAAGTATAAAGCCAACTGTACTGTGAAATATATAATTTTGGACGAGCTTTTAGTGCTCAGATGGAGAAAATACATAAAGATATAATTCATATTTGTATATAATGTTAACTGCGATAATATTTTACTTCTTATCGTTTAGGGCGAAGGACCTAGTAGTCCAGTTCTTTATTCTTAGTTAACTTTAAAATTAATTTTAATGTTAACTCACAAATAAATAAATAATAAAACAAACATCTTTTATCAAAAGGGATTGTAATTATAAATTTTTATACCAAATTAAATATTTTTTAAAGAATATCATTGATAATGGATAGTTGGTAGTAAATCATTCGTTTATAGGACTCTAATATTAAATTTAGTATTAACTAAATACTCTTTGAACAATATCATTTACAATGGATATTTAACATTATAACATTCGATTATACGACTCTAATATTAAATTTAATAATGACTAAATATTTTTAACAAATTCGACTGATAATAGATACTTAATAGTATATTATTACACGACTCTAATATTAGTTTAAGATGACACTGAAAGCGAATTTTCAATCAATTATTATTCAATGTTGGAATAATCATCCAGATTCCCAAATTAAATCAACCATAACGATTGAGCTGATGGCGAATAGCTTTTTCGACACGTTCCATACCTAATTCAATAAAATCTATACAGAACCTATTTGATGAAATAATCTTAAGGATGTAATGGAGATGAAGATGAAGAGAATTCATAAGGAAATAAAATTAGTTTTCCTAAAAATATATTCTCTCTAAAGACACTAACATTTCAGTTATCCTTAAAGCATTCTAAATTGTACTAAAAACTTCATTTATCTTATGGTGCATGTCCTTATAGTACACCACATGCTGAGCTATTATATATCCTTTATTTTAAACTCGTATAAAGGAGTATACAAAGTGAACGACTAAAATGGCCATTTTTTGTTTTGTAATCACTTTAAGTTTCAATTAATTTTGTATAATTTCACTTGATTTGTGCTTTATCTGCTCACCAATTGACATAAAATTAGTTGCTACCGCTTTGGATTTTATTACTCCCTCCTATCACCAGTGCATTACGCGGTATTATTTAAGTAAAAATAATTAAACAACGTAAAAAGAAATGAAAGAAAATTAAATTGTCAACTGACACGCGTTCTTGAACGGAGATTACCAAACCAATTGCGGAAGTGTGAAGCAAAACCACAGGAGTTTAATGAAAACTCGTAGTTCTGGATCCGCGGCAAAGCTTTTTTGATTGAAACAGAAAGTGGAAAGAAGGCATGAAGTGTAAAGTGAAAAGGATTCCAGGCATACGGTTTTTGTGGTATAAGCTATGTATGTAGACATAAATTAGTTTCTTTGGTTTCTGTTAGTGATTACCTGATCACCCATGCCAGTAATAATTGGTGTATTCCAATAAGCAGCAAGACGTGCAACAGGCTCCAAGGCAAATGCACAGGCAGGACCAATGAAGGCAATTACATCGTTCTTAAAGTGCATATCAGCGGCCAAGCCAGGTGCTCTTTCACCAGAACAAGATGGATAACTAAAAATATAGATTTTTAAAATTTTCATTATTGCGAAACCATGCAAAAATTATAGATATATAAACATTATAATTGTTTTTAAAATTTTCTTTGATAGATGAAAGTACACAAAATCCGAATTTTCCAAAGATCTATTTTATTTTATGAAAAACATTAGATATTAGATATAAATAATAAATAAGTAAAATAAAATTTGGTGTAGAGAAAACTTAAATAAAATCTATTATAACATATGGGAATTATTTCCTTTTAAAAAGAAATTCATGCAAACTATATTTGGCCCTTTAGAAAAAATGATTGGACACACATAATAATAAATTATTCGAATGATTAAAGTGGTGACTCTATCCAAAAGTCTGATTAGTAGTCTTGCACAACTGTGATATTATATACTTGTTGTAAACTGTTTAATTGGATGTTTACATATAGCTCTGTCAAATTGAATTCATGCGGTTTAAGAAGCTTTGCAACCAACATAATCTTCTGCAAGCTCCCTAAGATAATTGAATATCAGTTTATCTATTATTATTATTATTATTTCCTTGGTGTATTTAGGTAAAGACACCGCTCTAAGTAAGAGCATAGAGCGGAGTTTACCTAGGGTGGTTGTTATCTGTTTCCGAAGAGCAAAGCATGCACAGAGAAAATGGAAGATAACTTGTTTTTAGTCTGATTGGTTGTAGCCACAGCAATAACTATTACAAAAGATTCCAATATTAGCTGAAAATGTGAAAAAGTAAACTTTGAAATAAAATGGTTATATTATAAAAATTCTTAAAGATATATCATAGAGTTCAATGTTTAATAGAAAAGTTACCAGGAAAAAGAAGAAGTGAAAGAAGACTATCACCCGATAGGCTTAAAAAATATGATGAATGACTAGAAAAAAAAAGAAAGTGATAGCATTAACACCTTAAGGTGTAGAATATTTAAGGCTTGACAACTTAAGGTGTAGAATATTTAAGGATGCTAGGGTTTTATTATCTAAATGGTTTTAGTCAGCTGCAAGATCTCTTCTTGGAAAGCATTTTTTATTTTGTTTAAATACCGAACTCTTTTTAAACTCTGGGACTTATGAGGCAACATAAAGTAACACTATCTCTTCCATTAGATTATCGTAATGAATGTAATAAAAGTAATAAAATCTGGAATACTGAGTTTGAAACTATACTTCTTATATATCATTGGCTGTAATTAAGTAACCTTAAGATCAAAAATCTTAAAACAAAAAACAATTATAGATCCACATTCTTACTATCCGAAGTATTAAGAGCAGTTCAATTGAAAAAAACTTGTAGTATATATTTTTTATTAAAAAGAAATTTTATAAAATAGAACCAGTGGTCACTTCGGCTTGGAAACCTACCTTTTTCCAAATCTAATGTTTCGGGCTCACATGATATAAATTATTAATCAATGTAGAAGTGTTTCGCGAAATAGATATTCTAAAATTATGTACATATAAAGCCATAACTTGTTTTACTATATGCCAATGACAACTCTATAAATGATTTAATTATTGGATATCCAATAAACGATACTTTAAAGAATTAAATAGACTTAAAATAATAACTTGTTTTTCTATGTCAAAGATAAACATCAATATTTTGTATTTAAAAATGCTTTACCTAGTCGACAAGTTAGCAGCTATTTATTGATCTAGTGGATTAGAAGAAAAAAAGAAAAGATTACTTAACTGCTCAATCGCTATCCGTCAATTGCCAAAAGCATCTGATTGTTCTTAGTTTGTTCTTAGCGATATATTAATTTAAAATTCCTATAGTCAATTAGTGTCTTTAAACTTCTATGTGGTATCACTTCTTCCGGTACTTTCCAAAGGCATCAACCTAATATGCGTTCTTATTTTATTCAGACGACAATGTGATTTTCTAGTCCAAAATAACAGTGTCTTCATTCAAAATTGCTACAGCAAACTAGTATTTTCAAACTTCTGTATAGAATTACATCTTCCGGCACCTGCCAAAGCCGTCTGACTATAATAAGTTTTTTGTTTATTTAGATGATATAGTGGTTTTTCAGTAAAGAATAGAGGTAGCTTCATACAATATTTCTATAGCCAACTAGTGCATATAAATTGATATGTGATATCACTTTTTAAGGCCTAAATTAGTCCAAAAGACCACTCTTAACTTGTTAGAAAATAACATATAAAAGTTTATATACATATAAGTTATATAACTTATATAAAAACATATAAGTTTTTAATTGCTATCAAGATTCAATTTTTCAATTGTTCCTAGTATATAAATTGAAAGAATTCATATTTTATTTTTTTATATTCTGAACGTCTTTCCTAAAGGCACCAACCTCTGGCATCTTTATATCAATGATTCGTATGACTATGTTTCTAGTTCTTAAGATATTAAGATATAATTACTGTTGTTCTTAGTGGTTCTTCTCCTGATATTATGATTTTTTAAGTAATGGCTTTATAATGTTTAAATTTCCATATAAATTTTTTTTTTGGTAAAGAAGAAAAATTGCCATTGTATTAAGTCCTGATATTTTAAGAAATTTTAAATAAATATAATTATAAAAATTCTGAGACCCCTAAATAGTGCGCGGTCGGTAATAAAATCACAAATGGGAGAAAATAAAAATTGTTTCTTTACGTTTAGTACTCTTTTGTGTTCAGCCACAGTTGAAGATGAAGATACCATTTTTGTTATCCTTACTCGTGCATTCGCTACTGTTGCTTTGGGAGCAATAAAGGCATAATTTGAACATTAAATACAAGCAATTAATTTTGAACTTAGTCGTAGCACTGGAACAAGGTCTCAATTATGGAACAGAATAAAGCAACAATGCGCAACAAGTGCACTGAAACAAATTAAAAAACACTCAAACAGACACTCATTTACCCATACATATACATTTTAAATGGTATTAAAGCTTAAAAAGGAATAATAAATTGAATAAAATTAAATGTGTAAGTAATGAATTTCAGAATTTAAAAATTAAGTAAAATACAGAATTTAATAAAAAGTTAGTATTTTTAATATATTCGGAATGTTAAAAAATTAAATTTAATATAATTATCACGTACCTTGCTTGAACCTTTTTCAATGTTATATTATGTTGCTTTAAAAAATCTTCATTAATAACTTCTAATGCCAAATCCACAGCAGGTCCACAACGTTCCAAATCAAAAGGTGAATCTGTTCACAAATTAATCATATAACATCAAATATCACTAGTAAAAGGTTTTTACTAAGTAAACTACCTAAATGTGAAGCCATTAAAACTCCAACATTGAATACTCGCATACCCGATTTTTCATATTCAAGAGCTTCACGTTTTTCAGTACGGCCTGCTTCAAAATACTCAGCAGAGGATTCAGCGTTGCT